ATTAACAAAACAATTTTTAGGGTCATAGCGATCTTGAACAAATCTCATTGATTTTCTCATCACTTGGGACACCGTCAGAGCAAACGTGGCCGTCGTGGAACACCATGCCTGACGCTAGCAAGCTGATTTTCGACACTGTAAGGCCAATGAATGATTTGAGTGATGTAGGTGAGACAAATTTCACATAGTCGCAAAAATTATAAAGATATTAATGAAGAAAGGTCTCAGGGTTGTTCCACCTTAGAGACTTGCCACGCATTCGATTTCATTGGCAACATGAATTAATGCAGACCTGACTTATATAATGACTTCGTGGCGTACCAATCAGTGAACACGGTGCTTCCATCTTTCAATCAGTTTGGGACCAATTTTCTTGCGCAGGAGAGGATGAGAGGTTTGGTTAGGACGTAGATTAGGATCAAACTAAAGACTACTGGTGTACTACAGAGCACCTCTATTCACTGTACTGCACGTACTACTATCAGCTCTAATACAATCGATAAATGTGGGTAATTTTATTGCATCATAGTTATCCGGCTGGAATTGGTCGAGACGGTACGAAATTTTCACCACGGGAAGAAAAAATAGTCTATCGAACTGCTTACCAGTTTTTGAAACTAAATGCAACTAATAAGTAAACTGAAGTAATAAATAGGGTATTACTCAGTAAAGATTTCAACATCCCTATTCGGGCTATTCTTCCCCTTCCAACTAGTGGTGCATGTAGCTCAATGGTTAGAAGCGGCCATACGATTCACATGATCGTTGGTTCGAACGTACGTCTCGTACTAACCCAATTCTCTGCCGTTCCTTCGATACTAGCAAATTACCATCAGACATCTCTGAGAAAAAATACAATGACCACAAACGGTGGTCAGCCCTAACAAGTCTTCTTATATACTAATTATGAATTAAAAATCTGCGAAATCTATTTTAGTAGACCACACTGCGGGACGCGCGTGTAGCGCAGTGATTAGAGGGGTCCGGAAATAAACAAATGCTCTTTGGTTCGATCATGTCCACAGGTTTACCATGCCTTCCAACCCTCCGGAGTCGACACTTTGGTAGTTCTGCAGTGGAGTATAGCAGCACTGACTTTAAACATCGGTAGGCCTCAGAGAGTCACTGTAAAGGTCACATATGGATTCCATCACCTCTAGCGATGCTTGGTGATGTCAACGTGGCACATCCATCACAGATTCATCAAGGCTGGGAGCTTTATCGTTTTTTGTACGCAGCGCTTCTTTATGAGTTTGATAAGCATCGACAGATTTGTAATTAATTCAGTTATATTCTAAAGACTTATTTACTCTATTTATTTTATTCTAGTGCACACCAGTAACTCGTCAATTCTGGATCTTTTCAAACGTATGGTGTACTTGGAGTCAAGTTGGAGATGGTCAGCAGCACAGCTACTGACCCATTCATTCTTCACGCAGGCAACGCCGGGTCATCATTCATCGATGGTCCACTTTCGTCCTAGGCGACAACGAATCTTTGACGTACCAGCAAATCTTCCTCGATTGCGTATCGGACCACATTTCTGAAGATAGCGGGTGGTTTGTTTTCATTTGCTCTTGCATTTCCAAGGCAACTGACCGACTACAATTTTCTACTCACTTAGATTTAAGACCGGTATTTTAGCTTTCAAACCCAAATCCCGTAATTATCGTAACTCTATATTTGCTAAATCCAAACATAAGAATTGGTGTTGCATCCAAATTAATTTAGCCCAGCTGATAAATTCTTGAGAAGACGAAAATTTATTGTTCTATATTTCCAGTTAAGCACTACTGAATTGCTTCCCTTCATTTAGAGGTGTTTCTATTGAATTTCTTTCGTGGTCTTTGCTCAGTTGCAAACATAACCTAATAACTCGAAAGATCGACTTTCTATAAACCTCGGCATGGATAGTTGGTATATTTATTTATATGATCTTATAAACTGATCTTCTTAAGCTGATGCGAGGTTGGTACAGGTCCTCGTTGTCGCTGTTGTTGGTCTATGGCTGACGTTTCGGCGACTTCGCCTTCCTCAGAGCATGGACTTATTTTATATTAGAATATTTTTATTATTCGGTGGAAAAAAAACTGGCTTCCACTCCCAAACATTCAAATTAAGCTCTTCGAAAGTGGCTATATAACCAAACGGTATCATAAGCCAAGTAGTAAAAATATACTAGTTCACCAATTCTCCTCTTATCCTTCACACGTGAAAAAAGTACTTATCAAAAACATGTACCGTACGGCTAAAAATATGTGTACAGGTAAGGAGGAAAGGAAGGAATCGCAAAACCTGGCACGAAAAATAGCCATTTCCAATGGCAACGAAGTAGAAGCCATTCGGGTTAGAGGAAAACGTTGGGTAGTTTCCCAAAATAATATTTCAGACGAAAGTAGGATCCCCTTTAAGCTACCCTTCATATCAAATGAAGTAAATCACGCAATTAAGAGGTGCTTAAGAAAAGTGGTCTTGAAAATTATGTAACGATTACTGACATCCCACCCAATACCCTACGCGGTCAGTTAGTTCGCAACCATCTCTATGGTCGTTTGTGCAGCTCAGAAAACCGTATGAACTGCCCTAACGAGAGAGACGGGGATTGCATGAGTTTAGGTATAATATACTTGATCTCATGTAATGCATGCGGCGAGGAATATATCGGGGAAACGGGTAGACCACTTTGTGTCCGCATAAAAGAACATCTAGACGGGAAAGTTAAAATCCATCAAAACACTCCTCTGGGTACACATAGGGCACAAAACACAACGGCGATGATTTTGAAGTGACTGTGCGGATCCTAGCGCAGGAATCAAAAACATCAACGCGCAAAACTCTTGAGGCGTTTTGGATAAATTTCAAAAACCCAAAGATGCACCGGAAAGACGAATGCCTCATTTTCACGCGTGTCTGGCGCTCTATTCCAAAATGATATTTTGACCCCGGGGTGTGTCTTGCTCGCGACCACACGAAAACAATGCGTAGGCCACACGTAACATGGTGAGCGCCCTTTCTGTTCAATATGGCGTCTATTTGAAAGTTCGATCTTCATTAATACTTTAACTTTTTTCCACCGAATAATAAAATTATTCTAATATAAAACACGTCCAAGCTCTGAGGAAGGCGAAGTCGCCGAAACGTCAGCCATCGACCAACAACATCAACAACAACGACAACGACAACGATGATCTGTACCAACCTCGCATCAGCTTAAGAAGATCAGTTTATAAGATCATATACATAACCTAATAGTTAAGCAAAAAAATCCATTATTTTTCACTACTGCATTCTATATAATAATGCTTGCATTTTATGTTTAATTGGGACTCAAATCTCAGTGCTTATTTTCCAGTTATTCAATCGAGTGTCGGATTTCATTCGAGGGCGAAAACAAATTTTCGTGTTTCCAGTAAGGATGATCGCGGGTTCGAAGCCCAATTAAGGTCCCGGGTTTTTTCAATATGTCAGCACCGTTGTGATTGTATTTCACTTAGTCCTCTGCCATGAGAAAAGAATGGACAGTAAATAAAGGTCAAGGCAAATTTTTGTAATGTTTTTTCATATTGATATGCGGAGATTCAAATCAAAAAATATGTAGGTGAGTATAGAACATGACCATACTGTGTTACACTCTTCCTCAATTACACGCCTTCTTTTATTCTTAAAAGTTTAGAGAGAGTACGAGTTTATTTTAAAACACAAAGGTCTGTAAAGTTTCTATGGAATATCAGCGAGATTCCAAAACTTGTTTAATTGCTAATGTTACATATTTCAGCGCACCTGTAGTGCAGTTGATAGAGATGCTCCGCAATACGCACATGGTCTTGGGTTCGATCTCGTGCCTACGGCTCACAAGCCTTCCATTGATCCAGGATGAGCAAATTAGTACCATACTTGTCTTAGAGGATAGCAGTACTGAAGCGATACATCGGTATATAATCTGAAGTCACTGTAGAGGCCAGATATGAATTTAGTCATATCTAACGATGTTTTATGAAACAGAATGCGTGACACATCCATCAGGGATTCATAAACCCCGAGTGCTATATCCTTTATCCCTTATTATATATCTTGACAGCATTTCATCTTGTGCTTGACATCATTTTTCGCAGTATGGGCAAGGCAGTAATAGCGAATAAAGAGGAAATTCAAACTATTGTTAAAAATAACGAGATTAACTATACACAAGGTTTTAATTTTTCATCGATCGATAGTGTTTCTCTTTGTCACTATGAAAATAAGACAGAGCTTAATGGTATCCAAACTAAAGTTGCAATCGCTTGAATTTTACTTAGGGCTGAGGTAGATCCTCAGTGATTTGAGGTGAATTCGATTTTTTTCGATAGAATTGAACACTGTAGTAACGTTCACCCTAATAGCTGATAGATTTGGAGAGAAATCCATGTTCGCTCTCCCACCAAAGGCACTCTTAATGAAAGGGTCCCCACAGAAATTGGTGATATTATTCGCGTCCGTAGAGCGAGTGGACCTCATTGGACATCGCTGACGTGTGACATTAACGAATGGAGACTTTCTCGATGCCCACTCAAGATGCTTAACTATTAAGTTCCTAGAAAATTCTACCAAACTCCTACTTTCATCAAGTTTGACTGTCGTCTTTCCATTTTTACTTGTTCTTATTCATAGAGACAAGTTCTTAAAATTTCATTTTAGAAACTTTCTACCAATTAGTCTGATTTTCTTTCCTACAGTAAAGATTCCGTATTTTCTCAGCAAACTTCTGAAAAATTCCCGTATAAATAAGTCTGGTGATTTGTTAAGGCAAGAAAACATAGCTACTATTATGCCTATTAACCCTTTAAGTTTTTGGGCTTCTTTTCAAGATTGACGTCGAAAAAACCGAAAATTAGCCCGCGGAACGATTTAGTGGAGAAAAATTCCAAAAATACCGTATACGTGAATACAGAAGAGTACTGTAATCATAAAGAATATGAAGTTGCACAAAGCAGCTCCACTTTTTGCTTGCGCGTATTTTCTAATTAGTGCGAAACTGCTTTGACGAAGCTTTGTGGGCGGGGTGATCGATGGGCGGTGGCGGCGGCCTCGCAGGCGGCCGCATTGACTCGACGACGCATCGGCCTCAAATCGGTCCCGTCCCCTTCCGTCTGTACCAGCACATCGTCGTCACATCCACCCGATTCAGTTGCCAGTTCATCGTCACTAACTTCACCTCTGGCGGTTTGTTGAGCACTGCATTTCATCCTCACCTCGATCCAGCCTCGGTGTGTTGAGTTCTTTCTGTCGCACGTGCGTCGAATCGCGATCGTGTGGATCGAGTTGATTCTTACGGCTCAGATTATGCGGTTATGCGACTGTTAGCTGTTGTCTTTCTACTGTATTGTGCCATCATTTGTTTGGCATCATCATCGAACACTGTGAAATGTTACTGTACTGACGACCATTGTGTACCGTATGGTGCATGTGATGGTATCGTATGCCTTGTTGGAATACTCAGGGACAGCAATCAAGTGATACGCACTTGTGGAACACGACCATTAGGATGTTATAAGTGAGTGGACGCAGCCTAGTACTCCTTTATGAACTAAAGATAATAGAAGAAATTTGCATTTTGCATGATTCGTTACCGAAGCTTCTTGGTGCTTATCGAGTCACATACGTAGCAGATATCAAAGTTACGTATTGAATGCATTTGTTCTACGGAATATTTGATTTGTTTTCCTAGGAAAGCTTTGAATTTGTAAGTAGTGGGATTTGATTTGTAGCGTTTGGTTCTGTGCGGTAGCCTAAGAAGAGGAACACTTGAAAGAACTGGACTTATCATGCTAAACACCGATAGAGAAGAAAGACGCGTCATATTAAGAGACACAAAAGAGAACATCACGTCAAAATATTCAGCAGTTTTTTTAATTATAGAAATAACTCAAATTGTTCAGTTTGGAAAGACTCCGCTAAAAATCGCTTCGGCTTTTCCTTAGAATACGTTTTCTTAGGCGTTTTGAAGGAATTTTTCGATTTTAACTATTAGAAATTTTATTTTTTCAGAACAACTTTGTTATTAGAAAATTTTAAAGCTCGTTCATAATTAACTAAGTGGCAAGAATTTTCCTTTATCTCCTATTCTTGCCGTTGTCGTTCTCTATGGATCATTTCATTTGTTTGTGGGACTGAATAGCTCTTTGCCTCTTAGGATATAATAGAATTTTTTCCTTTCATTTTTTCTCTAAGTACTGCTACTGGGGAGCGGTTAACGTACTGGTAGTGATACCGTTTACCATGCAGAGACCCAAGCTATCCAGGGGCTGGTTCGATGCTGCTTTGGGCCAACAGAGTCTCCCATTATTCCGGGGTCGGGAAATTGGTATCTGGCTAGACCGACACAAGCTGACTTCCCCCAGTCCACACAGGAGCTACCCAACAGGGTTATCCAGAATTCCAGGGAAGATTTACTCGGTCAGCTTTAAGGACATTCGTAAGGAAAGAAATTTCTTCACGCAGTATTCGAGTCCATACATAAAAGTTTGGAAGGCCTTCGTGGATGAGGGGTGCGGGGAACGAATCGAGTATAACAAGTACTGTGATCTGTACAGTGCAATACATGGGTTGTCGGGTTATGCAATAAATAATATTAATAGATGAATACTGCTACCACATTTCTGCACTGTGATATACAGCTTAATGATTTTACAACAGGGAACAATTCCGTTTAGTAGAAAAATTAAATGAGAATTTCTCATACGTCGAAATTTCTGATTCTTTTGTTTACTTTTCTCCTTAGCAACTTCCTTATTTATCCCGTCGGCTGATTGTTTTCCACGAGATTCTGCACATATGGGGACATTTGTTTCCCCATTAACTCCGCACTCCATCAAGTCCCCTTAGTTAATGCGTTGATGCGAAGGGAATTTCGATTTATTTTTAATGGACTTTGACTAGGATTTCCGCATCCGCGATGTTCCTTCTCTGTTAAGTCATTTTTATCCCAAAATATCTTTTATGGTTATATCGCTTTTTGCCTTCGAATATCAAATCACTCATCAGAGCCGATTCTTAATCCTTTTATTTACTGCCTTTTTCCTTTTAATGGCAGGGTATGTTGCGAAATATAACTCGTATATAATGCTGAGATATTTGCAAAACTCCGGACCGCAGGTGTATGCGGTGGGGAACGAACGCGCGCTATTGTCCTTGCCGGGGAGTAGCGCACTTCATTACCACACCATCCGGGCCCTTCGTTTTGCCTGTCCCTCAGCTAGTTCTATCGATCTTTTTAAAAGGGTTAAGACTGTGATTATAACTAAGCTTCAGCTTAACTGGGTTCAATGCCGATTTGGGCTCCCCAGATCAATCCCGTTGGCGGGTGATTGCTGGTGGCAAAAGATCGATAGAACTAGCTGAGAGACAGGCAAAACGAAGGACCCGGATGGTGTGGTGGTGAAGTGCGCTACTCCCCGGTAAGGACAATAGCGTTCGTTCGTTCCCCACCGCATACACCTGCGGTCCGGAGTTTTGCAAATATCTCAGCATTATATAAGAGCTGATTCTGTTCATTTTCACTTTAAAGACCTGGAAGAATTTCACCGTTCTCTCTGAAAGTTAAACATAACAAACAATCATACACTGAAATAAGGAACTTTGCAGTCATTAATAAAAAGTAATACAATTAAAGATTTTCTTAAACGCCTCTTATGCTTTGATCAGTGTACTGCTGTGGTTACAGCTGCCTACCAATACATATAGCTTTGGCCTTTGTTTCGATGCCGTGTGCCGGCCTCACAAACTCGTCCAATCCATCAGAGTTCGGCACTTTGATGCCAGACTTCTCCTTGAGAGTAAAAAAATGACTTGATGTATTGGATGTCTACCGAAAGTCATTATGGAGACCAAATGTGCATTAAGCCACCTTTACGATGCTTGGTGAAATTTGGTGTACTACGCAACCCTTATAGATTGAGAGATTTTTCCTCACAAGTTGGCGAAGAGAGCCGTCTATATCCTCATAGCTTTCTCGTGTTTTAACGCCGAGTAACTCGGATTTAGCCAGCTTTTCTTGAGCAGCGCCGCAAGCATCCTAACAATAGCAATAAGACTAATGGCAATAGAAATCGCATGTACCTCTCGTTTTCCTATTTTATCGCCCATTGACTAAATCGGCCGCACCGAAGTGTCCATCTTTGTCGAAAGTGTTCTACAGTTATCAAAACGAGTTCTGCACACTCGAAGAATCGGTAGGGTACTCGGTGGTGCCAGAAGTAAATTTGCAGCGTTTGTGAAAATTGTGAAAAATCTACGACGTCAATCTAATATTTGTTCATTCAACACTGAGCACATGCTTTTCTGGTTGTGATGGCAATGGCTTGCTCAACCTTTCATCAATCATGGATTTATCTCGTTAATCGGTCAAAGAGTTTTTTCATCGCCCATCACCCAGAAACCCTAGATGGTTCAAGGTTTGCAGACATCACATCACTTGTGTCATGTATGATTGTCGTCACGGTCATTCCTTATCTGAAACTAAGAACTTGTAATGGCCTTCACCACATCGTACATAAGAGTCAGGATACTGCAAAAAAGGTCGATGTTTAATATTCTGGCAGCAACGATTTCTATTAAAGAAAACAGTTTGTTGCTGAGGATTTTTTCAGGTAACCTAATTATATCAATTTTTCGAGCATAAATGATGATGAAATAAAGTTCAACGAGACGACTGGTCATTTAGTATTCTGAGGCAACCTCATCGGATCTACTTAGCAGCCACTATTTTATGGAGGATAAAAGAAGGATAAAGCTCTCGGTGTTGATCAATTCCTGAAAGATGCGCCATGCATTCGATTTCATTAAGTATCGTTGGAGGTGACTTGATGAATATCTGGCCTTTGTAATGACACGTTGTAGCCTACCGATGTATCAAGCTATTGCTGCTATCCTCACAGACAAGTCTGGTACTAATTTGTCGACCGTAGAGGGATGGAAGGTTTGGTGGACCATGGGCGTAAGGAACGATTCCACGTGTGTTGTAGACCGCGTGCGACCACTAAGCCACACTCGTCCGTATTTTAATAGAGATTAGAGAAAAGCCTTTCGATTTTTATCAATGTAATAACTACCCGTTTCACTTGTAATTCCATGAATAGTAAGTAAGTAAGTAAGTCGAGCATTGCTGAATGGGTTTCCACTTGCCTCGGACGAGCCGAAGAAAATGATACTTTTCCTATAACAAGTTCCTTCACTTCAATTATCAAAAGGTAACTTGCCGAACTCTGAGGTATAAGTCTCGGTATGTACACACAAAGCTTGTCGGATTCTTCCAGAAAACAGGAGAGGCTTATTTGTTAGCGAATACCTTGCCAACCGTCCTCCCATGGTTTTCGAACCGACTTGTTTGCAAATGTTTCTCCGTATTCACCGCAACGCGTTAACACACTCGCATATACGTATGCATGAATATTTTCTACATGCATACGGAAGGTCTCTGCCAATCTGATACAGTAATAAAGACATAAAGTTCATCTCCTAAACGAGATTGCGTTCTCATGAAGAGCAAATGATTACTATACGTTGACATTCACCAGCCTATGAATCCACACCTGTAGAGGCGCCGTGTTCTCTCTTGATCAACTGTCTTGTCATCCATCACATGAGGGAAATTCATTGTCATGTGAGAGAGATGGACCACGAACCACCTGTTCTTATTCTCACAGATTTGCGAAGAGTTTAACAAATAACACTCAGTGCCGGTTTTTCGTCGACTGACGTAAATTTCACGATCACCTAAGCATCTGAAGTGTTAAAAATTTCGCAAATATGTTGGGGTACAAGGTAATATTTTGATATATAAAATTGCACTTCTTGAATTACTTTCCTGTTTGAAATATGAGGAGGAAGAGAAACAGGTGAAAAAACTTCACGTAGGTTCGAAATAATCAGAATTTCATCTTGCTAGAATGAGAGAACTTGTAAGCAAGTATCTATGGGCTCTAGTCATTTCTCCTTCAATTAAAGAAGTATATTAGGAATAAAATAGTGCTCTAAATCCCGAAGCAGTACCCAATGCGTTGATATCAGTGCATAGAGCGATAAGAGATCTGCATTAGAGCGATGTGTTTTAAAGAACTTGTTACATGGTTTGCCGAATCGTCAGATTTGGAACTTACTGTGCGTTTCATTGGGCCGATTCTGCTAGATTCGAGCCTAGAAGCATCGGCGAATTCCTTAGCTTTCGATTTTAGTTATCAATGCTGCGCTCCATTTTTTGCATAGCGGTAATATTTATAATGCATAAACACTTATGTAAATTAACAAGCATTAAAAATCGCTGAAGGAATCATTTGTTTCGGGACTAAAGTTATGCTTTTGAATTTGTAACGGCTCCACTACTACCTCATTAAAATATATTTGAATATTTTAAAAATTGTCAACTTACCAAATCATATCGACAACCTTACGAATGATTGCTAACATCATAGAGGTGACAAAATGCATATTTGATGTATTCAAGAATGGTATCAATTTGTCGGAGCCTGGAATCGAACCAAAGACCATTTGTGTATTGCAGGTACCTCTAAACACTGCACTGTACGCACCCGAAGACTATTATATTAGTGGAAATATTCCACTACATATGACGTTTATTTGAAAAAAGTCAAGCGTAAACATTAATTCTAATTTTTTTTTTTACAATATTTAACATCTTTTCAACGGTTTACCCCCTCATCATGGCTGGGAGGTGTTCCTGCGTGTCAGACTGAGATGTACAGCGGGGTGATTCGTCTTCTCGGTAGGGTCTCTCAAGCTAAGGAGTCCGGCGTTTCCATCAGGAAGTCTAGCTAACAGTAAACCAGTACCAGGATCCACTACCGTTTTTGTATCAAAGTCGCATGGTGGCAAATTTCCCTCTGATCGACAACGGTTGCGGCTGCCCGTGGTGGTGAAGACCTAGGGGGAACTTTGGTCAGGCTGAAAGCGGGATTCCAGGGAAGCACAATGGCTTATCCAGCAAGTCTCCGAAAAATGGTGGTTATGCTGGGGCCGCACAACCATTAAAGACGGGCCGTTCAAGTATCAAGTATCAAATAATATTTAACATAAATTTAGGAAATATTACATTCACTAACCTAACTAAAATATTAATGCTTTATCCAATCTTATGAACTCCACTTTTTTCAAAGTTTTCTACTATCTTTTTAGAAACCGTAGGCGCCGTTCTTTTCTGTTCTTTTATTATTGATGTATGGAACACCACTGCAGATCCCATTTATCGTTGTTTCCACTTGTTGTTCACCAGTTTTGTCGCCAGCGATAAATTTCCAAAAATTGGCCCATACGATTGTGTTTGTGATTTAGTGTTGTCTGGAAACGATAATGATGAATGAAAACTCTTTGTTTTGCTTCACACCCATAACAATGATATGAGGTACATACGACTCATAGGTGTTATTATTCATTGTTTATAGAGCTTGTATATTATCTAATAAGCCATAGAAATCGCAGAGTCGAATGCGAAATGGAACCAAACCAGAGGGTAAAAGACGACACTTACTGCTCATTCATTAGTGCCAGGCTGTGCAGTGGAATGACGTAGGAGCTATCGTATCGTTTGTGCCACTACCGCTTTTTTGTCGTCTCATTAAACAGTCGCGAAAGAAAAAGAAAGGTCAAAGAGGAGAAAAGAGCGGCATGACGATCGTTCTCATCATCATTTATGAAATCTTAACGCTATCAATGGTCCACCTCGTTCTATTTGGAAAATTCTAAAAAAAAATTGACAGAACGAAGAAATCGTGGGAAACAAAAATGGGAATTTCGTGTTTCAGAGTTTCTTGTCTGGAAACTTCTTTCAAGTGCATGTGAAATATGGAAGGGAGAGAGGCAGCTATAAGAAATGAATAAGATTCAGCTGGCTATTCTGAACTCTTCTTTTCATGAGATTACTGTAACTGCTAAAAGATATCGAAGTTTTGCGTGGTATTACTCATTAATAGGGAGATCAGTCCACATTATTCATCCGGGAAGTCGAAAAAAACCGCTGCTATACTATTTATCTTCCACAAGTAAAGCAAAAAGTGGAGCTTTGGGTTTTGTTGGCGCATTAGACTTGTCGCAGTTGAGCAGCTGTCAAGCGTATCACTTCGAATCCGTCAAAGCGTTGGTGTTAGTTTAACAAGTTGAAGACTCATAGTGAAGTGAACATTAATTTCCCTACTGGCAATTGCTTTTCATTTCTTTTTCTGTGCTCAAAGTTTATTCGTTACTGGTATCATGGTTGCTAGTGAGTTTTATTCAAATTAATCACAGAACTCTCTATAATGCGTAGACGAGTTAGGGTGCGTGTTTCGCGGTGGTTGAAGACGCCACTGGAAAGCAATCGTGGAATCGAAAACCGCTCCAAGGCCTACCAAGCCTTCCATCCATCCGGAATTGGTACCAGACTTTCCTAGGAGGATAGCAGCACTGGCTCGATACATCGGTAGGCCACGGCGAGTTATTGTAAAGGCCAGATGTACATTCAGTCACCTCCAGCGGTACTTAATGAAGTCGAGTGCATGGCGTATCTCTCAGGAATTGATCAACGCCGAGAGCTTTATCTTTTCATCCTTTTATGTATGGGCGTGTTATTGAATTCCAGAGGTTGCACTAACCACAAGTTAATGTTGAATCGCTTCTTTTTTCAAAAAATTCCGCATTACCACGAAAGAACTCAGAAAAGGAGGAAATGCATGGAATTTAAGCAACTTTGAATACTTAAAGTAGATGGCTTATCTTTGGTATCAAGAGTTTTCCACTCCAAGCATTGAAACTCATCCTGGTTATAAATTTTCTGTTAGAAATATAATGAACCGGAAACACCTTTTTACAAGAAATCTTGATATTTGAAATACTTGAATGGTCCTTCCCCACTGTTGTGCGGGCCCCAGCATAATCTCCTCTTTTTCGGAGTTTTGCTGGTTTAGCCATAGTGGCTCCCTGGAGTCCCAAAGTCAGCCAGGCCATAGCTTGCCTAAGTCGTTCACCATCAGAGGCAGTCGCCATCTTTGTGAAGTAAATGGAGATTTGCCACCATACGACTATTTTGACACCAATACGGTGGTGAATTCTGGTATTGGCTTATTCTTAGCTCGGCTTCGTGATGGAGACGCCGGACACCTTTTCAGCTTGGGTGACCCTGCTGGGAAGATGAATCCCCCACTACAAATCGCAGTAAGATATACAGGAACACCTCTCATCCACGGTGAGACGGTAAACTGTTGGGAGGTTGGCCATCTGTTTTGCTGAAGTGTCTGAGCTGTTAAATGGACTGAAAAAGTGAAGCTAGAGATGACAGAACAATAAAGATTTACATTCGCATTCGAAGCTTACCTTAAAGTCACTGATATCCGACAACTCGTCTATAACTCGTCATCTTTTTGCGAATTCGGCATGTTTTGTGAGGTTAGTGGTCGCTTGTCGTGTTGCGTCGCTTTTCCATCTAACCTTCCTCGGAAAGGAGAATCTGTCATGGAGGAAATTCGCCATGAAGTTTGTCTTTTAGCACAGAAGATCGATTTAGACTCATTCGTACTAGAGTTCGTAGCCAACATCATCATCATCATCATTGCCATTAATTCCATTATCAATGTCGGCATGGTCATCAGCTGTAACAGTAACGATGTCAGATAACAATTCTTCTAACTGACTAAATCTAGCGTTATCGGAACGAGAGTCAACGACAGCTCGCCGCACGCGACAATCGCGTGGGTGGATACGCGACGCCGCCGAGTCGTTCTCATTCAAAATCGGCTTTTGTTTCCATTGACTTCTTCTCCGAAAGAGAAAGGACAAGTGTTGGTCGCATAGTGGCTGTACTACGTAGAAATAAAACCAGTAGAAAAGACTAGATGATCATAAAAAAGAGTTACAAACGAATTAAAATGTGTATGGTTTCCAGGGATGAAGACGACCGTTGGACAGATTTATGTGCATGCGATCAGCCTTTTTGTAACACATTTTCCTACCTGAGATCTCACACAAGGTATGGTCTAATGTTCATCACTTAGAGTACATCCATTAACAATGCAAAAGCTTTGATTGAGGAATCCTTCCGATACATTCGAATGTCAAATATTCGAAGTTCTGAGGGTTTTTTTAGGTTTTCTAAATAGTTGAATAGTTGAGTTCTTCCTACTTAGGATTATGTCAGCACGCGTGTATCGCAGTCGTCAGAGATACTTTGCAACGTACGTGGTCATTGGTATAACCGCGCACCAAAGGCTAACCTATACTCTCTATCCATACGGCTTCCATCAAAAATTTGTGTGGGAGTACGGAAACACTGACTTCTAATGTCGAGAGGCTCACGCTCCAGCAAAGCCATTACATTGCCAAAATATGCATTTCGTTGTTTCTACGATGCCCAGAAATTTATCTTTTACGATTACATCGCTCAAAAATTCATTTTCAGCGGAGTACTAGCCCACACTTCTGTTCTTCGTTTGTTCTGTAAAAGTATCAGCTGATTTCAGTCAACGTCGTGACATACACGAATCGGACGACGTTCCATTGGTGTTCGAACGAGTCGATCGACCTGATGATGGTAGGAATCGTTGTATAAACTCTTACTAATTAATCACATTTAGAGAGCAACGGTAAAAAAAACTATTAAAATTTATGGTAATGAAAGTGCAGGCAAAGCAATAATAACTTCAAGGAATCATGAACAGATGAAGGAGTAAGCATTAAACGTGAAGGTTATAAAATTTGCTTAAATATAACCCTAAAAAGTTCTCCTGTCTATTCCAGAACTGTTTTCTTTGAGTCGTAAGTCATTCAAAGCCTGAATTAGTGTGCTGCGAACGATTAACAGACTCCGTTCGTATTTCCTATAGAGAGAAAATTGGTTGTTGAATTTCTATTTCCCCGATGGCTGTGAATATTAATGGAGGTCAGTTTTAGTGCCATATCATAATGGAAATTTTTCCCTCAAATTCAGAATCTCCTTCACTCTCCGTGGAACCAAATACTACATTGTCCCCTTTTTGTGTAGGATCCTGGAAATCGGTAGCCTTAACGCTACAATTGATGCGGCGACATGATGCTCATGAAGTTGAACATGGACCTAAAGTTAGCATGAGCTTATACGGAGGCGAAAATCGATTCAGGCGTTGGGCTCTTTGTCAGTGCCCTGCCGGTGAACGTATGCTTGCCATGAAATGTAGATGGAGTCAGAAGATGTTCGTTGATTCCGCTGTGTTGGATTGACTTATAGTTTTCGCGTACATATACATATATACGTGTTCGTGCATATCTACGTGAGATTCCTCTCTGATGCACCGAATGCATCCATCTTTAGCAAAAAATTTGTAGTCAAGCAGTTTAAGATCGTATGAAAATCCGTTTGTAATCATTTCTAACAACTGGTTCTTTCTGAGAGAGTCCGAAATAATATGCTCAACCACCTAAGAATGCGTCTAGCCGCGTACCGGTTAGAAGTGCCTTGTAATACACACGTGGTTGTTGGTTCGGTCCCGTGCTCCGGGCCCACTAAACCATCCATCCCTCTGGAGTCGATAGCAGCACTAACTTGATACATCGGTAGGCGACCGCCAGTCACTGTATGTGCCAGATATGCATTCAATCACCTCTGTCGATGCTTAACGAAGTCGAATGCATGGTGCCTTCCTCAAGGATTGATCAAGCGAACAGCCCTATCGTTGATTTATGCCTACACCCTAGCTCTCTATGCGGAACAGCCAATGAGCTACCTATGGGTATGCTTTGTCCGAGAGCATCAAAGATGACGAGTTCCACCTGAAAATCATTGTCCTATGAATGCCCTTCTAGCGGGAGAAGCCTAATGATCATTTTCATCTCAGGCATGCTATGGTGAAAAATGAAGACTTCGGTTGTGAGTCGTTATGCTATAACAATTCCGCGATTGCTGAACAAAAAACGACGCATTCATGCTCCTATGTCGAAGTTAATAGAAAGTCGATCCTGGGAACTGACTTCAGTAGTGTTCATTAGAATTCGGGCGACGATTAACGAGATTGCAGACCTATGTAGGCAAAAATTCTCATCGAAAAGTTAGAAAAACAAGTGGTCTTGACTTTTGACGTTTCTGCCTTTGCTGTATATTTTTCCCATTCAAGTACTACGTTTTAAACGAATGTCACTAGCTGAAATTCATGATGCTCGGCTTAGTGTGTTGGTTATTTGCTATTCAATGCGAAGGAAATTCGAAAGGGAAGAAAAAAAGACTAGTAAGAAAATTATCGGAGAAGTGGTGAACGACAAAAAGCACGACGAAGAAATGTTTGTATAGGTTCGAATAAGATGTGGCCATAAACGCAAGCCACCCCTAAGCCGTCCAGTTAGACGGTAATTAGGAAGGCTGGACATCTGTTCAGCGAAACACTTTACTGAAGCGATTTTCTAGAAAAGTTCGGGTAAAACTTAACTCGGAATTCTACCGAACTACTAGATTGTCAGTAACTCCCGTAAGCGAATAGTTCTGTTTCTGCTCCTTCTGTTTTGACAATTTGACAACTCTACAACTACAGAGACCTCAAAAAAAGCCCTGAACTCTGCTCTAATTTACGAGTAGATCTTAGGTCTATCCACTTACTAGTGCAGGCCCTTTGTAAAGATATTACTAATATTAATTGTCCTTTTAATTTATACGATTCATCTCTACATGTTAAACTGGCCTCACCGTTTCTTTCATTCGATTCGTTGTCTCTCATCCGCTTTTCACTGAGGTGCTGCGCTTTGCCTGTAGGTTGAGCTACCACTTAAGGACTTTGTCTTCATCATGGATGACGTTGAATGTATTTTAAATTTTAAGGCAGCTTTATTAGGGAGTCCCTAAGTATCCATCACAGGCTATCAGTGTAGAGGTGATGTGGGGTTGTTTGCCAGTATTTTTGTCGAATTAAGAGGAATGGGAGTCTTGGCTGGCCGAGGAAGAGGTCGCACTCGCGATCATGCAACTATTGCATCTGTTTCTAACCACTGCGCATCTCGTGAAATGAGCTTAATTTAATGTCTTAAAAATCCTTCTTCTCGAATGGTCAGATTCGTGTTAGTTTCAGTTGTAGTGTCACTCACCCTGTGAATAGAACAGTAGGAAACAGAAATTCCACAAGTTCACAGCGTAAAACTCTTCCATGACAAATGACCAGATATTTGTCGCTGTCTTCCTGTCAAGGGAAGCATCTAGCCTTAGAAACAATCTACATGAAGAGTAGCAACGATGTGTAAAAGAATGAAACAAAGCGATTATCCAACTAAATGGCATGAAGTGGGAAGTGAAGGTGACTTATGTATTCGTATGTGAATTGTCTTATTGGCTAGTTCAATTAATTTATGTGTTTGGTGTATACATCTATTGAATTTTAGGTATGCCTCCTCCAGATCAACCGCCTATTACAGCTAGTTCACTTCTCACTCTTCTTCTTGTTGTTGTTCCCCTCACAGTTGGAGGGGCCACAGTTATGGTTTGTATTGAACGATATATACTAAAAAATGACGTTTATTTATTATAAGTACTGTATTTCATAAATTTAGAACGAACGATCGATCCTAAAGTAATGCATTCAGGTGGTCGCCTTCAACTACTACTGTCATTTGTGCTAGCAGTTCGATTGTCGACCACGTATTTGTGCGGGTAATGGCCAAATGCAGAAACGTGACAACTCGGTTGCCAGCTCGTCGTCAGGTTCATAATTAGGCCGAAGCCATACACTATACCGTCGGCCCACGAGATCACCATCGCTCATCAGCAGTAGTCGTGTGGACGTCACCGAAATATTTCCTGATGACATAAGTTCGGATGGAATATGAACTGGAGACGATGTCGAAAGGCCGAATCCACCCCATGCGTCAACCGTCAGCACGGCTCGAGTGTCTCTTTCGCACTCACCGAACCAACTATAATTAGTTCCACTATAATAATAGTTCTGCAGCATTCACAAACTGCTATAGTGTGGTAGTATTACCCACCCTTCGCTTTGACAAATGAACTCGTGCTGATTGATACCGAACGGCTCCACCTTACACTTCCAGTTGAGCACATAGGTTGGATCAGCCGCATATAGCACCCATTCTCCATGAAGCTGAACATTTCTGTATACTGAAGAGTACAGTATGCACTATAAAACAACCGTACCTGCTCAGCCATTCGGAGTGGGTCAGCACCTTCACAGGTTGGCGGCAGAAGTTCTACACAAGTCGCATTTAGTTCCTGGATCGGATGAAGACAAGGTAGAGAACCAGTCAGTTGCGCTTCCTTAATTCTTCTAAAGTATTTAGGCATGATTTTTATAAAACTGGGTACCTGGGTTTTTTATTATAGGTCAGTTTTCTTTTTACCAACTCAGTGGAAAGAATTCTACACCGGATAAATCGTTGTCGAATGTTACAACCATATTTCCTCAACCAACTTCAACGTAGGTTAACTAGTAACCACAGTCTACTCGTGTTCCTGGCTACATGAAAATTTTCGTAGATGCTTTAAGCACTAAGAAGCTCTTCAGTGGAGAAAGATCACAAGGTTTTGACAACAATTTTAACTCATAGATTATTTATTATTTATCGATCTCGTGTTAATTTATCAATGAAAGAATAAAATCGTAGATTTGATAAGCACTTCAAACCCATGATAACGATAACCTTCACGTGCTGTTTCTTACCTTCAGGAAAAGTTCTGAACGTGAGGCTACCGGATGTAGTAACACAACTTCGCCATTAACCCTCACGAGAAGTCTATTTCGCGTCGAGTACTCCATCTGTACCGGTTGTTTAACACAATCAGTCATACTGAAAAAGGTAGTGTTTTTTTTCAACTCACCTTTGATGGTTCATCTTGAAGTGTAGTTTTTGTTCAAACTAGGAATGAAAAAGAGTAAAAGTGAAATGGGACAGTAGTTCAATAACTGGGAAAAAAATTAACTGACCTTTCTAAGAAGTAGGTATATAAACTTGCAAATTTGGCAATCAAATGACCAAAGGACGTACACCACTTCGGCGGCTTAGTGAGGGAAAGACGATAGGCAGACACGAGGGCATGAATAGTTGGGATCCGTCACCAATACGATTCATCGAATTTACTCTCTCTGTTTGATGAATCACAAAAAATCCACGTTTCTTCGTGTACTCGTTTAAATTCTCAGATATATCACAGAAGATTGATGAAGTCAGGTACAGTACCACTTAATAGTCAAAACAATTCATGACGTCCAGTTTCAAAAATCCTAAAAGTGGGAAAAATCCAGAAACTTCTTTTCCAACTAGGTGATCATGAGGATCTACTTTGTTCCTCTCTCGCTCTACCTTCGAAAAAAATGCTCCTTATTGGCCTTTCTTTGTGATGATTCAAATAAGACAAAACTGGCATTCCATCGATTAGAAATATAGCGAGGTAGTTCGGCTACAGTATATTTGGCGACTCTTGCACTTCTTTATTGCCACCAAATGACAAAAAAGGTGATGAATTTGGGATTCCATGCTAATGGTGGCATTGATCGAACTTAAATGACATTCATTTGCCTGTCGGTGTTAATCAGCTGAGCGAATGAGTGTAGATTTCATCCCCCTATAGTTGCAAGCAGCTAGAGATTCGTTAACTTGACGACTGGCATTGTTACTATGGAATTACGAATTCAAGCACTAACCACTTGCGCACACTTGATGACCATCCAATCGTGGTGCGATTGGATGCACTATAGTGTAGAGGTGGTAAATTTCTTAAAAGTGCATAAAGCGTTGTCTGTTCCACGTTCTGCTCAAGCAATAACTAGTGTGACCAAGAAAAATGAGGGCACGACAAAAGCCTTTTGAAAAACGATTTCATTTGAAATCCCTAGCGACGGTTTACACAGAACATTCTGGAAATTCCACTCTTCTTCCTATGTCACCACTACAAAATGAGTTATTCACTTTCAAAAGTGTGCCATTTGCACGATATGTGATACTGACTGAAATGAAAATAATGTGTCGGGGACAAATTTCTCATGAATTTTATATGGAGGGTTATTTGTTCCCGCTAGGTTCCACTCAATTAAAGAGAAAGTCGAAAGGTAATAAAACGATTCGTGCCTGAGCGAAATGAGTCGTTGCATTAAAAAATGCATTTTGTTGTCGACAATATCCCAAGCTGGGCTTTTCAAATTAGGATTGCCTAGGCGGGATACTCCAACTAACCTAGAGGTTGCAAAAACAATAAGTTGTTAAGTGCATTATAAACAACAACTCTGTAGTATTTTCTTTTTTTGATGGAGAATGGATGAAACCAAAACTAACATCTCTACCACCGCTTGCTATGCTTTCCCAAGGCAGGACAAAGTTTGCTTAATCCGCTGCCGTAAGCCCATACAAATGCATCTTGAGGTCTTCGAAGTATCATTCCAAATCTACTTGTTTCTCTTTGTTATGTCCGCGGTGGTCGTCAACCATTTCGACTTCTTTTTTCAGTAACTCATATAATTTGTATTACCTCTCAGTTGTTGATATGGACAGCGAAGGCCGCTGCGTGTGTGCGTGCACTTTTACTTAAACCCGAACAACAATCGGCAAATTACATCAATGCCATGAATTTCGATGTTAGCATAGCTGAGAACACATTCAAATGGAAGGTTACTCATGCAAGAACGAGGAAAATGGGATAGCCGAACGATTGCTGTAATGTGGAACATCGACGTCATCATGAACCGTCAATGAAGCGATGAAGAAGACACGAGGTAAGTCTACTACGTCTTGGTCTTTCTACACAACACCATAAGCAGGAATGCGCATGATGAATGCCAATCGTCAAGTGTAATCGAGCAAGAACGACGAGCTTCTCGCGTACTTCATTCAGTAGAGCCTACCTGCGAGACGTCGATGACCAACTACTAAAGTCTGTCCAGTTATCAAATTCAGAAAAGAAGGTTATCCGAAAGACTTTAAAGGAAGAATCTAGGAAACTCAAAAATAGAGAAAGATTAACGGTTAGATGGTCAAACTGGGATGGAAATACGTCCTTCCAGAAGAAATCATTGCAATAAATTGTAAATGGTTATGAAAGACTAGGAGGCTATTAAATAATAAACTAATTATAACCTAATAAACATTGATGAACATTGCTACGTCATAATAATAACCATTGCTACTAAGTTTGAAAACAAATATTTAAGGAAATTAAGAAGTGCACAGAGCGCGTGTGGCGCAGTAGACGGTGGCGCCCTGCAACACACACGTGAAATCGAATCCAGCGTCCATGGCCCACCAAGCTTTCTATCCTTCCGAGGTCGGTAAACTGGTACCAGACTTGTCTGGGAGGATAGCAGCACTGGCTCGATACATCGGTAGGCCACTGCGAGTCATCGTAAAGGCCAGTTATGCATTCAATCACCTCGAAACGATGCTTAATGACGTCGAATGCATGGCGCATCCCTCAGGGATTGATCAACGCCGAGAGTTTTATCCTTTATTATTATTATTGTTAAGAAGCACACAAAATCTTATTCAGCTATTGGATTAACATTGCCCATAAGGTTGTACGAAAATGCTACGGCTCTAGGAAACGTAGGTTTCTCCTCTTGACAGGGATATATTACTAACTTTTAATTAATCAACAATTTAGTTAGAATCTACTTTCGTTATGATTTAATACTGTTCTTTAATTTGTTTCTCTTCCTTTCCCCTATGAAAATATATTGAACGGGAAGAAATTAAGTCCAGACATTCTAACTTATGTCGTTAAGAGCAAAATCGTTAATTGGTGTTTTCATCAGCGATTGATGATCAACGATGAAATCTCTCTATATCGGACTCTTCTTTTTCTCGGGATAAGCCGTTGATATCTCAACTACGGAATCCTAAAATAGTGTGGATTCCTCGAAATGTCAATTACACCCATAGGCGAATAAGCTAGCCTCTGATCATTTTTCCACTTTACAGCTGGAAAAGTGCATCAGGAAAAATGAAAAATCCCCTTCCTAGATTTTTTCCGTTCTTAATGAACGGTTATTATCATAAAAAGATAGAAGAGATCTGAGACTCTTCAATCAGTCAGAGATAAGCGATTCATTCGAATCTATTTGTAGCATCGTAGAATACATATCGTAGAATGCATAGTACAACTGAATACATATCCGGCCTATGTAACGACTTTCAAAGGCTTACCAATCTATAAAGTTAGTGATTCTATCGCTCCAGGCAAATCTGATGGCAATTTGCCGATCCCGGGAGAATGAAGAACTTAGTCTACCCTAGGCGCGAAATCGAACTCAAGACCTCATGAGTACTTCAGAAAAACTCTGCCCATTGCGCTATAAGCACCTATGTTAATACCGCAGATTTCACACAAAACAATAATCCTATCTGTTTTACTCACTTCTCAGATACTTTGTGAAACGTTACCCCATCGAAACGAACTGCAAACGCATTCGGAAACATCTTACTCGACGCCACCGCATAGTATTTAAGTTGTCCATAGGTGTACTGAAATAAAAAGTTTTAGAATAAGTTCCAAGCCGGTATATGGTTTTTAATAAAAAAAAAAACAAAAAACACGAGGAGTTTAGAAGGGAGATCATTAATTCAATGCCGAATCTTCTATGTACATAAATGAGGAACGTTCGATCAATCTTTATGTTTTCCATAATAAAAAACTCTATCACTTTAATGATAAGGCTTCCTAACTTTTCGTAGGCTTGTTTGCTTTATAAGCTAACTACTCGCAAGTTAAAAAAAGATATTCTAGTCCAGTTTAGCTAATCCTGAAATCACTGGATCACAGACATTTGCGATTCTCATAGTCGATTCATGAAGAGAGAGAACCGCACCCTGAATATCAAATACGCCCATATAGTATTCAAGTAAATTAATGTCGGACTTGAATTTTCTTCGTTCCTTATCTGGGACTCATAAACATTATAGACGAGGTTCACAACCAGTCTATAATTGGGAGTTATGGACGCAATCGACATAATCCACAGTCAACCCGATTTCGACATCACTAGTGAAAATAACCTAGAGAGACACCGCCTCTTTCCGTAGTTTTCAAATTCACTTTTGATTTTAAAGAGTAAATAAATCAACTAACACTATAGCGGAAATTGAACAGACAGCAAAGAGGGCATAGGCGATAGCAATTCTACTATAGAGGAATGCTTCTGGTTTTTTTTAAGAAAATCCACCAAAAAACCATTTCTTCAAGATATATCGCATTGATGACTCAAAAAACCGCCTTTCTATAAATCTCGGCACAAATAATCGATATATCTATATAACTACATCTACATCTATGCATATATATATGTATATGTATATACATATATATATATATATTCTTACTAACTCCCCTTGTTAAGCTGAAGCAGTGTTTGTATCAGCTTGTTGTTGTTCGATAGCTGAGGTTTCGGCGATTTTGCCTTTCGAAGAGCCGTGTTGTTGGGAGTGGGACCACCGTGTGTTGTTCACGTGGAATAAGGGGTCTATATCGTGGGATAGTCGTTGTCTATAGTCTAACAATAATGATAATATAGTGTAACAATATAATGATGATAATAGTTTATACCGCAGGACACCCATTCTCTCAGGCGAACAATACACAGGTGGTCCAACTCTCAACAGCACAGCTCGTCAGCTACTTTGTGTTTGTGTTGTATGTGTTATATTTGCGAGGAAGTAAACGTGTGCTGAATAACAACCTCGCGATTGCTGTTAAAAAGAGAACAACAGATAGATGATCATATTTCTCGGAAAACATTGGAAGTGATAACAAATTGTAGGAGTGTTACCGTAATCTGTTCGGTATTCAGGTGTTCCCATTCGGCGACCGACGAGTCGACTTCGATCGAACTACAAAGCGGTGGACGAAGTCGAGCATGATCGTAGACGCATTCATCTGATGAAAATAGAAATCTCTAAAATCGGGATAAAATCGGCCAAAAGCGGTTATCGAACCAAAAAAAAAGTGTGATGGGTAATCCAGTGACGCGTCACAACCGCAGTAACCCTTTACTGTCAAGTTTTTCTGTGTCTCATAATCCAACTTTCACATCTTCATTAGTCAGTGGACTTCAGAATGACACCACATCAAGAAATACTGCCTCTGTTGGAGAAATATCTCAATTTCTAAAATAATTCTTGATTGATATGCGCGCTAGTGAAGTGCACTTTTTCATAAGTAAAGAAATCACATCCTCCGTGTTTCTCATACATGTATAATGATCTTTCTTTTGTTATACCCTTTTTCAGTCCTTTTTCTCAGTGTTGAAATTTCAAAGGCAACGTTTAGAATCACTGCTGATGAACTCTCATCTAGCAGCCATGTAAAACATAAGTATTGATTCCGAAACCATGCTGTAAATACACATCTTTTCAGTCCTACCGTATCACTCTTAAAGAGAGCGTTTTAATTGTGTTGTAACCATTTTACAACTACAGACGAAAAGGGGAATACTGTAGCCACTTCAGTGATTTTTAGATGCCTGAATTTCCATGAAGAATGTGAATTTACCGCATGAAAGCTGCGTGACAGTTATTTGTCTTCGTTATTCGCACGCTATCATTATGTCATTTTAAAAAATACCAAACGTTCGTCTTTCCTCATTGATGATTCCTCAGTAACGCATCCAACCCATCCTCACTATTAGAAATGCCCCACAATCCGAATAGAAAACAAAGTTGTGCCTTCATGGACCTCTGTGATCTTTACGTCTGAACCCATAAGTGCCTTAGAGTGATCGAAATTGTTTTCATTTCTTTCTCACGTGTCTTTTTCCATGTTCGAATAGAAGTAATAAAAGATTGGTGACTGGAAAACGTCTAAGACTGCTTACTGATACACTAAGTAGTTACTTCATTGCATTCCTGTCGTGTGTAGCATACTGATTAAAAGTGTTCTGTAACGTACACGTGGTCCCTGGTTCGGTCCTATGCCGAAGGTAAACAAAGCACTCCATCCCCCCTCTTACTGATATGAAAACTGGTACCAGATTGACAGAATAGTAACACTGACTTGATATACATTGCTAGGCCACGGCAGACCATTAGTGTATGCCAAATATGCATTCAACCACCTGTACGATGCTACGAATGGAATTGAATGCAAGGCACATCTTTAAGGAATTGATCAGCGTCGATTGCCTTGTTTATCTTTCAACGTTAAATATTTCCTTTCCGTTTTTCAAAATAAGCGTAAGTGAAACATTAATCCATGTCAGACGTAGTAATCAGCAAAGCATTTTCCAAAAAAAAGGACTTTTAGGCTTAAATGGCGCGTCGCGTGAATCTCCTTGATTGGCAAAGGACGAAAACAAAAGAGAAAACGTAAACTTGAAATATACGAACCAAAGGGAAGAACAAATATACCTTTGGAAAGGTCGAAATATTTCTGGCCTCATTTGTATGACTCAACATCCCATATTGTGCACATCTCAACACTCCTCTCATTCGATTCGTTCCCTCCCATCGACTGAAGCCAAATTCTAATAAAACTTAAGGATTCATGAACATTAGCCCTTAATTGACTTAATGGATGCTTGTCGAGCATAGTCTTCTCTGAGAACCTGGAACAGTCATGGTACTAGAGCATTCTTAGGCCGTCATCAGAAGTTGTAAGACTTTGTGAATTGGACTCAGGAATGTAGCTCATCAGTGGGCTGGCAGCGTAGTGGTAATGATGCCATTCACAACAAGCACGGTGCTAGTCCGACTCCGCCCAGTGTTCAACGAATTTCTCACCTTTCGGAGTAGAGAAATCGGTTCCAGAGTTGTTTAACCCCAACTCCTTCTATTCAATGTGGGAACACTATAGCACGAGTATCTCAGGTCTACGGGAAGAATCGATTTGGCGAGCATTCGACCACATTCATAAAGAAGACGAGAATCCTCCAGCGGAACTAACGCGCAAATCTCCGAAGACCTATGTTGCTGCGTGGTAACTAGTCGAATCCAAGAAGTGCTAGGATCAACACAATAGGTGTGAAGAACATTTGTCTAAAATAAGAAAAAATGTCGCTGATCACTTCGAATTCTTCTGGGAGAGAGTGATTCCTCTGAAAAGCATGAAACCTGCGTTTAATCAATCTACCATTTGAAGGCGATACAACAACACGAGTTCTCAAATGATCTTCGTGGCCACTACAGTAATAGAAAAAAGCTCGGCTTTTGTGTTTGACGCCCAAAAAAATTAAACTCGGTAATCAAACTACGGATTTGAATTTTAGATCGGTTTCGGTTCAGCACACACTTTATTTGTGATGAAGCTAACATTGACCTAATAGGGATGGCGGGTGAATGCTAACAAGAGTAGGCATCGCGTCAAACGCTTACAGCCGAGACAAATTGCATTCATCAACATCTTCATAGAATGAGCGCGAGCAAAGAGAGCGAGACCCCCACATCCTGTCAGAAGTTGTCTTAAAAGAATAGGGAAGTGAAAGAACCAGTAAGAGAAGTTCAATGACTTTAGTGAGTACTGAAAACGCATATAAATATCAATAATGACTAAAACAATTAGGGTAAAAAAAAATAGCTCAGACCGTCTGGAAGACCACATCTCAAGCTCAATTCAGCTCGTTCGTTTTTAAATATAGCATTATGATTTTAGCACATATCGATGAATATTAGGAGGCGGGTAACGCAGTGGCAATGATCACAGTACTGCTTCCACTCCGACGGAAATCACCCAGCCTGTCATCCTTCCGAGGGTGAAATTGTAACGAGAATTGCCTGGGAAAAAATTCACTCTCTGCAATCCAACTTGGAACGCTCTAGTTCGGCTATCTCAAGACTCCAGCGAGAATAGACGCGACCAGCATCCAACGACATTCATGACGAAAAGAATGTCCCCAAGGAGCAACCGAACCCATTTGTAAAAGTTGGAAGACCTTCGTGAATGATGAATGCGAAGAAACAAATCGAATGAAGAAGTTCTGCAATTCTCGCTAAATGCAAATGAAGTGTTAGAGTAGAATAAATAAAAATGGGAAAAGCAGATAAATATTAATATCACTCGTTTACTCTAATAGAAAGGAGAATTTTAGACAACTGTATGAAACAATTTTGCTCTCTTTATGAATCAAAAAGAATCGTCGATGTTGATCTTCATTCTGGGATTTCACTACCTGGAACTGTTCTCTGCATTTCGGGAGATAGATCAATATATATGTATTTATATACACTATCCATACATATATATTTGTATATGTATATATGTCTATATATATGTACATGTATATTTATGTATATGTACGTGTATATATATATATATATATATATATATATATATATTGCTAGGCCACCGTACCACAATCAGAATTCGAGCACCATTACCTATACCAAATATTTCTTTTGTTTCTCAAAACTGCTTTGCAACATTTTTTAAATGAGAATAAGAATCACAGTGTCTTAACTTTTATTTACTACCTATTCTTTTTTCACTGCAGAGTAACATGTGAAATAGAACCTCAGGTGCGCAGAGAAATGAACAAAACTCGGAACATTAATTGGGCTTAGAAGCCTCGATTATCCTAACTGAACCTGAACCCGTTAACGGGTGATTGTTGATAGCATCAATAACACCAACCGAGTAGAAACATGGTTGAGAGGAGGACAAAGCAAGCACGTTCGGTTGGTGTGGTGGATATCACGAAAGTTCTGATAAGTGTGATTGCGGGTTCACAGTTCAACTGAGCTCTGGGTTTCGCTCACATCTCAGCACCCATTTAATTTAAAATAGGTATGCTTACCTTGCTTACATAATTCTGTTTGCTAGTACAAAAATTATTGCTATCATGAGTTACGTTAATGAAAACCCCGAGGGAAGAAGCAGTAAAAGTCAAAAGTACTTCTCTCATCGAATTTTTAACCTTGAAACGTTTTTATGGTCTTATGCAGCGGAATGATTAGAAGCGTCCTTCCATCATATCTATAGACCTGACTCAACGGTGCTCCACTAGACAAATCGAACTCCTTTCCACTCGGAAGTTAGAACATCGGAAACAAACCTGGTTGGGTTTAGAAGAAACTGACTTAGTAGTTAATAGGCTCCCGCAAGCCATTGTATGAGCCAATTAATCATTCAAACACTATGAATGGAGATGAATCATGGGTCATACATAAGGGATTGAACGCTAAAGGCACCTTATTTTCCATTCTTTACGCCGTTATCAATATAAATGCAATGACTTACTCACCAAATGAAGCCGTATGATATAGCACTTGTGGATCGACACATACGGCTTTGGCTACTTTTTCCAGAACAATCAGTTCGGCATGATCGATAGTTTCATGACGTGATATCACATAGACTGCTCGTTCATCACATTTACCATCGACAGAGATTCTTAGACATGAGTACAACACACCGACATGACGATTGAAGAACAAAAAACGAAAGATCACTGCAAAAAAACAAGAAGCATTCCCTGTCATTAATGAAAACCAATCTATAAAAATAGTACTGCGAAGAAGCATCAACTAAGCCCCACCTGGACCAAAACATGCCAGTAAGTGAAATTTTGTTCTGTTTCTATTTTATGGAATAACACAAAAACCTCACAAAAATGCAAAAAAAACCCTTTAACATTTTTCGCTTATGGTGGGCTTCAAACACAGGGAATTAAAAAAATGATAAAAAGCTTATGGATACTGAGCAGCTCTTAAACAACTTAATAAGATGTGAACTAAATGAATCACCTCGTCGGTATAACGAAAAGCACCTATAGGCCCTAAAAACTCCTTAGACATTTCTGAGGCTTTTAGTCTTGACTTAACCTTTCGAAATGGGCCTTCTTCTCCGCATACTTTTATTGGAAGGCCTTTGTTTTAAATTAGATGTTATACAAATACCTACATTCTATGTATATAGTAGATCCTACACCTATTGGAACTGTTTTATCGCATGGATGTGAAAAATTTGCTAATTGAGAAGCGGCGGATAAATCCAAACAAACACTCTCAATAAATTTAGAAACTAAAACAACTTATAAGCTCTAAATAATGAACAATTGAGAAAATGTAGCAGACCTGAGTAGTCGTTCTTTAACAAGGTCTTATTTTTAACTTAACTAAAGCCTCTTTAGCATCCACCAGCCGGTTATAGTCAGTTAAGGTAAAATTAGGGAAAACCGATATGTGGTCTTTACAACTATCTGAGTAAAAGTAAGATATTTATTATTTTAAAGCTATCTTAAACAGCTGCCTTTTTATCAAATATTTTTCGATAACTGCTCTTCCAAGGATGAAAAGCTCGAAGACGCTCTTCATAGCTTCGTTCATTTCTTTCGTTTTTCTTCACGAAGACTTATGTAAAAAAACATTCGATGGCTCAACAATTTAGACAATAAGCTGAAGTATTTTGCTCAAACGCTTCAGTTCTCATATGACTGAATTGGGCGATTGTTGTTGACGAAGAAAGCAAAGAGAACGATGTTCTTATGTCCGTCATTCGATTCGATGGATGTTCATCAAGAACCGACTGAAATAAGAAGAGAGGCACAGCGGGTACTAATCCAATTCCGAAACACCAGGGATGACTTCACTACTCACTACGTCAAGTACGAGTTAATTTCCACGTCGGTAACCTGACTCTAACCATAGTCGTTCTATTACAATTCAAAAAGGACACAAGCTTAGTTCCGAATTAAGGCGCGCTCTTATTCCAAGTTAAGAAACGTTATGATTCGACGGAGACGTATTGAAAAGATTGAGAATCGAAGGGTCCACTGAAAATAGGAATGAAATATAGGGCAAATAGAATGGTGGAACAGAGAGAGTACGATAGTAAGATAGCACGGCAAGAAGAAAAGAAAAGTTCTGTAAAGTAAAGAATAGAGTTGAAGACAATCATTATAGTAAATTCGGATTAAGTTAACACATTGACGAGCTGCTACAAAAAAAAGATAGCTGTCCATCTCCGCTCGCAGATTTTCAGTAGCAAAGATTTCGTTTTAAATATCATCACATATCAACTTTTTTTACTTACTACGAAGGACCGGCATGATGTGGTGGTGAACGCGTTAGCCCTCGGAGAGGATAATAGCGCGTTCGTTCCTAACCGCAGACATCTGCGGTCCGGAGTTTTGCAGATATCTCAGCATTACTGTGGTTATATCATCACATACTTGTTGTAGAATTTTTTGTTGACGCCTCGAAATGAAGTTCGTAAAAATAATCGGATCCGTTCTGCAGTTCTTTCACGGTGAAGACTCGAGTGAAACAAGCTAACGGCTCTCCTGGTAAAGCTCTGAAATAACCGATATATAAATGTAGTGAAATAAAAGTAGATAAGTTAGTTGACATAAACGTTTCGAACTATTTTTGAACGATATTTTCACAAATTACTTAACTAACACGAAATTTGTATATCAGCTAAGGAAGGCTTTTGAAGTTGAATGCGTCGTTTTCTTGTTCAGCAATCGCGAGGTTTTTAAACAGCATACATTTATGAAATGCTGAGATATTTGCAAAACTCCGGACCACAGGTGTACGCAGTGGTGAACGAACACGCGCTGTTGTCCTTACCGGATGGTGTAGTGGTGAAGTGCGCTGCTCCCCGGTAAGGACAACAGGGCGTGTTCACTCCCCACTGCATACACCTGTGGTCCGGAGTTTTGCAAATATCTCAGCATTTCATACGAGTTATAATTCGAAACATACTCTGCCATTAAGAAGAAAAAGGCAATAAATAAAAGAGTTAAGAGCATACATTTACTTCCATAGAAAAACACAATACAAAAACCACGTGAAACACTTGGCCAAAAGAAAGTCCCGTTTATGCTGCCTTTTATAAGCGATGAAGTAAGCGTAGCTATAAAACGATGCTTAAGAAGGGCAAGTCTAGTGGAATCGGTAGCGATAGTTGAAATACCACCGGCTACTCTACGTCGTCAATTAGTTCGTAACCGTCTGTGTGAAACAACAAATTCCGTAATTTGCCCTTACGGCAGGGACGGTGATTGCATGAGTTCAGGTACGATATACCTGATCTCTTATAACATTTGCGGAGATGAATATATTGGCGAAACGGGCAGAGCTTTGTTTATCCGTATAAAAGAACACCAAGACGGCAAACGAAAACTAAGACGAAGCACCCCACTAGGCACGCATAGGATACAAAAGCATAGCGGAGACGATTTTGAAGTAAAAGTCAATATCCTTGCACAGGTGTCCAAAACACCAGCGCGAAAACTCCTTGAGGCTTTTTGGATAAATGCCAAAAACCCTACAATGAATAGCAGGGATGAATGCCAGGAGGTCATACGCGAGTCATTGGAAGTCACGTAAGAAGCGGTGTTTTTCGAGCTGTTCATCATGTAATTACCATAGAGTTTTTCGTCTTTTTGTAAGTGTTATTGAAGCGTTTGGCCTAGTAGATTGTATATCAGTATACCCTTCCAGGCTCTGAAGAAGGCGATACTGCCGAAACGTCAGCTAGCGTTGTATTATATTGTGTTTTTATGGAAGTAAATGTATGCTGTTTAAAAACCTCGCGATTGCTGAACAAGAAAACGACGCCTTCATATTCCAATGCCGAGGTTAATAGAAAGTCGATTCTGGGAGCTTTTAAAGTTTATAAAAAAAGTGCTTTTGAACATTTTTCTCCACGGAGATTTTTGTTCCCAGTAAGCCTCGCTGGCTCGAAATCGTTCAATTACGATATTATTTTATGAAGTTAAGGAGTTATAACATCTCATCTTGAAGGATATTTGCAGGAGACATCCTCGACGAATCTTCAATCACCTGATAAAAATATGTAGCCTTTACCCTCGAAGACTCTCGCGTAGTGTAGTGAGTAGATGTGCCTGGCAATGTATATACATATAAAAAAGGACAAAGGATAAAGCTCTCGACGTTGATCAAACCCTAAGTGATGCGCAATGCATTCGACTTCATTGAGCATCGCTCGAGGTGATTGAACGCATATCTGCCTTTATAATAACTCGCGATGACCTACCGATATATCGGGATAGTGCTGCTCTGCTCCCAGATTAGTCTGATACCAATATTCCGACCCCGTACAGAAGACTTGGTGGGGCATGGACGCGAGAATCGATTCCACTTGTGTGTTGCATGACCCCTCTGACCACTGCTCCACGCGTACTCTTAGTAATATATAATTGATCCGCTCCAGATATTATTTTATCCTTCATTCTCCTGCTGTCACTGCCGGCGGTAGTTGAGTAACCAATGAGCGAGCTTTCTCCAGTATCGATTTTTTGTGGAAAGTATGAAAATGCTTGACTAAGTAGATTTTATGTCAATATAACCCATTTCAGGCTCCGTAGATGGGAAAATTCGCCGAAATTTTAGCCATTATAGCAAAAACATTTCATTAACGACGCCATAGCTGCTATTTTAAAACGCATAAACAGTACGATGACAATCTTAACCGTTTTATTTACTGCCTACTCTTTTTTTTAATGGCAGGGTATACTGCGAAATATAACTTCAATGAAGCTGAGATATTGGCACAACTACGGGCCGCAGGTGTCTGTGGTGGGGAACGAACGCTCTATTGTCCTTTCCAGGGAGTAACGCGTTCACCACCACACCATGCGTATCTTTCATTTCGCCTGTCTCTCAGCTAGTTCTATCGATCTTTTGCCGCCAGCAATCACCCGTCAGCGGGATTGGTCTTGGGAGCCCAAATCGGCAACGAACCCGGTTAAGCTGAGGCTTTTGTTATAATCACAATCTTAACCTAAAATCCAAAAAAAAGTGGGCAGTAAATAAAACGGTTAAGATTGTGATTATAACTAAAGTTTCAGCTTAAATTCAGACCATTGCCGATTTGGGCTCCCCAGATCGATCCCGTTGACGGGTGATTGCTGATGGCAGAGATCGATAAAGCTAGCTGAGAGACAGACGAAACGAAGCACCCGCATGGTGTGGTGGTGAACGCGTTACTCCCCGGAAAGGACAATAGCACGTTCGTTCCCTATCGCAGACACCTGCGGTCCGGAGTTTTGCAAATATCTCAGCATCACTGAAGTACGATGACATTTTACATTTCTAGGAAATTTTTTTAAAGATCGCACAGAAGTAGGTCACATCTATAGGGACCATCGTCGTGAAATTAGCAATATTTTGTTGTCCTACTACTATCATCCCGATTTCATGATGTAAATGAAGACTTATTGCCCTACTGTAACCATATTAGTAAACGGTAACAAAACCTACGCCGATTGGAACAGGCGCAGTACTGCTGTCGTGTTAGAAACGGCCGTCAGTCGCATTACCATCGCATAGGTGTCTAAGGCCATCTCATCGAATCTAGCCATCAGAAACCACGTGCCGGCTTTCTCAATCTGAAATTAATGAAACAACTTCGATATTCGGAAGAACTTCGTTTAATATTGTAGATAAAGTAAAACACTGATTATCCAAGTCGGGGTTCAATGGAACTCGCTAAACACATTATTGTTCTACTATGTGCAGCTCATAGCCCTACTGCTGCAAGATGGACTGCCAACATAAAAAAATAACTTTGGCCTGTAAAAAAACTAACGAGCGTCTTGGGTAACTTCTGGATTAGGTCAAATCACCTTAATATGACAACAGTCCTGTATAAAAGGACAGTGCTAGGTGACGCTACTTAATCCATGCATTACTACACTGTACTGGATTGGTTTCGATGCGACGACTACGTAGACCAACGTCGCAAGGAGAAACAACTGCTGTGGACACTCGACTAGAATCATTGTGGCACCGAAGAAAGTTTGTAAGAACCCCTGATAAGCCTATCAATAAAACAAGACGTGATTGTCCATTGCGAGGTTCAGTGAAAGTCGGTACTGGCATTAAGAAATTCTCCTAGAAAGGAATCTAAGTTAAACTAAACAGATTTCTTTATCACAATGCATAACTTTTTATCAACTGTCCATAATTTTTTCACATTAGGGTGTTGTGTGAAGTACAACCACAATGATGCTGAGATATTTACAAAACTTGGACCCTAGGCTATATCGAACTGCTATTACCCTTTCCGGGAGCTCACGTGTTACGCACGGCACCACTGAGGCCCTCTTTGTCTTTCTCTCAGCCAGTTTTAACGCCAGTTTGCGCTCCCCATATCACTCCTATTGACCGATTACTGCTGATGGCACCGTTGTTATACAACAAAGAAATATTCCACAATGATGCTAAGATAATCTTAACTCTTTTATTTACTGCCCTTTTCTTCTTAATGGCAGGGTATGCTGCAAAATATAACTCGTATGTAATGCTGAGACATTTGCAAAACTCCGGACCGCAGGTGTATGCGGTGGGAAACGAACACGCGCTGTTGTCCTTACCGGGGAACAGCGCACTTCACCACCACACCATTCGGGTCCTTCGTTTTGCCTACGTCTCAGCTAGTTCTATCGATCTTTTTGCCATCAGCAATCACCCATCAACGGGATAAGCTGACCCAACTTATGACCAGATTTTGGTGGTCCTGATTTTTCAATCTTCCTCCTGGTATGTTTGGACTTACCTCCTGCTCGACAAAGTGTTAGCAACTGAGCTTAAAAGTAAAGATAACAATGTGATGTTGCGACCAAAGAGTTTTGGACCAACGCATATACACAAATACGCGTACTTGCGTCAATCGAATATCTATTAACATCGGCATTGGAATATGAATGCGTCGTTTTCTTGTTCAGTAATCGCGATCATGCGTCAACCAATCCGTCATCATTTAAGTTTAGACCCATTATCAGCTGTGTAGACGGGCCAACGAATAGAATAACCTGGTTATTAAGCCTGATACTTACCCAGTTGCTTAACCATATTTCGGTTCACCTCAGAAACACCCAAATGTTCCTAGAACGTCTACGTAACGCGTCTCCTAATAACGCTTACGTGATGGAGTCTTTCGACGTTACCGCACCGTACACCAACGTGTCGAATGACTCCGCAATGCAAGTCATCTTCGAACTTCTTGTTGAACATGAAGGAAAAATAATGGCTGCATGGCTGCATGGCTTGTCCATCCAGCAGCTTATGGCTCTCTTAAAGGAGTGCCTAAACTACTCGATTTTCCGATGGTCTAGGAAATATTTCGCGCAAATGAAGGTGTTGGCAATGGAACGGCGACTGGCACCAAGCCTTGCCATTGCGTTTATGTCTAAAGTCGAAGCCCCGCTCTCGATCTCCGGCAGATACTCTACTGCAGGTACATAGATTATTGTTTTGTTATCTTCTCTACACAAGAGGAGGTGGACAAATGTTTCGAATTAAAACAAACCTATCAAGTAGCGGTTACATGACAAAGTGGTACCGAAAGCCAAGTAGCAAGAACATCCTCGTTCATTTCCTTTCTTCCCACCCTTTACACACAAAAAGGGCGCTTGTGAGAAACATGTTTCGAACAGCCACCTCTGTGTGCACAAGTAGGGAACTAAAGGAAGAATTGCGTGAGTTGGCTCGACAAGTAGCTATCTCCAATGGCTACGAATTGGTAACCGCACGAGATAAGCCTAGAAGGAAAGCGACGCCCCAAACGAACGGTTTAGCCGAAACAAAATCCCATTCATCTTGCCCTTTATTATCGATGAAATACGTGTAGCGATACAACGATGCTTAAGATGGGAGATCTAGAGGAATCGCTAGCGATAATTGAAATTCCACCGAATACTCTTCGTCGTCAGTTAGTTCGTAATCGCCAATACAACCGTCTATGTAAAGCACGAAATTGCGTAATTTGCCCCTATGGCTGCGATGGCGACTGCATGAGTTCAGGTACGATATACCTGATCTTTTGTGGTACTTGCGGAGATGAATATATTGGCGAAACGGGCACAAAAGAATACCTAGATGGCAAGCGAAAAGCAAGACAAAATATGCCACTAGTGACGCATAGGATACAAAAGCACAGCGGAGACGATCTTGATATAAAAGTCACTATCCTCGCACGGGATGTCAAAACACCAGCGCGCAAGCTTCTTGAGGCTTTGTGGATAAATGCCAAAAATCCCACAATGAATGGCAGGGAGGAATGCTCTCGCCCCATACCTCCGTATCGATTGTTGATGTGAGGTGGTGCAGTTGTCAACCATGTGCGACTCTGAGCAACTGTTTTTCCCCGCTGGAAGACAAGTGAAAAAGCGATAGGTTTTTCGAGAAGCCGTAGATCTTGTAATTATCGTTCAGATTTTCATCTTTCTGTCTGTGCTGTTGAAGCGTTTGACTTAGTAAGTTGCGTATTAGTGCACACTTCCACGTTCTGAAGAAGGCGATTCTGCCAAAACGTCAGCTACGGTTGTTTTGTACGTGTGTTATTGTATGAAAGTAAACGCATGCTGTTTAACAACCTCGCGATTGCTGAGAAAGAAAACGACGAATTTATAATCCAATGCCGAGGTTATTAGAAACTCGATCCTAGGAACTATTACGCGCTCACAATTTCAACTTATTATTTACTGCCTACTCCTCTTTTTAACGGCAGGGTATTCATTGTGAAATATAACTTCAACGATGCTGAGATATTTGTAAAACTCCGGACCGCAGGTGTATGCGGTGGGGAACGAACACGCGCTGTTGTCCTTACCGGGGAGCAGCGCACTTCACCACCACACCATCCGGGTCCTTCGTCTTGCCTGTCTCTCAGCTAGTTCTACACGATCGCCCTAGAATCCTGAGATAGCCGGGCCAGAGCGTTCCCGATTGCAGAGAATAATGTTTTCCCAGAGAAATCTGGTGTCAATTTCCCGACCCAGGAGGGATGAGAGGCTTAGTTAGCAATAAAAAATCAATATATGTTCATCAATTGGTAACAGTTGTAAAATCGAGTAATTCTTCGTATTTTTGCTACGAAAAAAAATAACAAAAATACGAAGAATTACTTGATCAATGGTTAAGGTTAATAGAAAGTCGGTCGTGGGAGTTGTAAAATCATCATTAATAAAAATTGCAAAGCCACTATTAATAATAGCAAGAGTAAAAATAGTGGTAGAATAAACCTCTTTCAATAATTAACTAGGTCCTCGTAAGAATAGGATGTTTTTGGATGTTAAGCTACAATGAAGAGCCTAGTTTTCATCCCATGAAATGGTCATAAGACGAAAAAGAAGTTTAGAATTTCCACCTAAGGACTAATTGAAGAGTAAACCCATGCAAGAAATCTCGATAGAGCTTTTCGAATGAAACTTTTTACAATCACTTGTGGCCCTTTCGCTGCTTATGTATAGCGGCCCTTAGACCTACACTCTCACTATACTTCAACAGAATGTGCATCATTTCAGCTGGGGACGGTTTATAAAATTGGAAAAGAATACAGAGAAAATCGAAATTAAATGAATAAATAAAAAGATTAGGAAGAAAAGATATATGTCTTGGACGGTTACAAAAATTTCGTCACTTTTGTTCCTTTGAGCTTCGACCCTTTGTTCTTTCATATTATAACGCTTGTCATGTGCTATTTCTTTATCGCAAGCGTATCGTCAAGAACCTGACTCATTTCTTGAGAAATGTCATCTCATTCAGAAACTGAAAAAAGAAAAAGCTTACTTAACGAATTGCCATGGATGTGAAAACGACCTATTCACAAGGAGGCAAACTCATACATTAACAACAAGCTTCAACGGCTCCATGTATGAGAACGACTGAGAACACGCTCGCATGACTATCTCAGAAAGAAAATTTACCCAAATATGAAATATTATTCAAATGAAAACAGTGCAGAGTCCTGCAGAACTCGTGGAGGACTCATGAATGACACCTTTGAAGCATCCAAGAAATTTACTACGTCCATTTGAAGCTCCGAAACGATCTTTGAAAAGTAGCCAGTGGTGGTGGTCAAGAAAGTCTTCTTAGTACCACTATCATACTAATATATTCTAAAACAACTTTGGAATTCGGAAGAATGTTCGCGTGACGGAAAAAACTTGGAACAGTGATGGATTCATCAAAAAGCTCAAATTTTCACTAGATTCCATTTTTGGCCGCAGCGTATGGCCACAACGCAATCTCTGACGGGCTGCAGCGATGTTGCCGATCGATATATATCTAATAAACTAAGCACTGCGTTGAGGGTCTACTGTGCGCAGTAGCTCAAATTCATTACTCTAGCTCTTAATTTCAAAAATATGCAGATACTTACATCTCCGAGATCTGCACGAACACCTTTGACCTCGTGAACTAAGCATTTTGGTTTCTGCACATTCGTAAGAATATGTAACACGTCGTAATGAGAAAGTGTGATCAAATCACGACGTAACTGAGTTGATGCCGACATTTCACTGCCACATTGAGCTGAAACATCGATTACCAGAAATCGTAACGAAAGTAAACGACAAAGCCAGTAGTTTCTATAAGCCATAAATGAACTGTCCTATCTCTAACATCCACTCGTACTTATGTTCGCAATTAAAAAATTGATGAGGACTATTCCTAGAAAGCACCAAAAGTTTTCCAGAAAATCTCTGGACACTAATGAATAGTTAAGATGAAATATGTATGTCATAGATTTGTATAGATATTCAAACGAACAATGTAGATCGAACCAACGAAGGCTGTCCTTCTCTATGCACACCATCTCGAGATACGGTAACATCATTGACAGATCATTGTGGGAGAAATGACGAGATCTGGACAAAAAACAAAGATATTTCGAAAACAAGTGACGACCTTTTACTAAAGGGAAAAGGCTATCAGATGAGAAAACTCTTAGAGATGAACATTCATTAGCTTGCAATTGTCTATTACTCTTTTAGGTTTATGCTTTCTTGGAGATGGTTTTGAAGAATTTCCTAGTTGCAAAAGGAGTACTGATTCAAGGGAAGAAAACTATAATAAATACTAAGAGAATGGTCAATTCTGCCCCTTATGATTTGCTGCCAGCTTGGTGTTCTATCTATGAATACCAAAGAAACAAAATATGGAGTTCACACTCCAGAACGAGTTTCATTGGTTGACGTTTAACGGAAGATCTGTTGGTTGTCAGAATGCGGTGAAACCGTTTGTGAGTGACCTGACTATCATTACGCTACACTGCCTGTGGCGATGTAATATGAATTATGGTGTGAAAAAAAATAGGCAGCGTTCGATGTCTTTTTTGTTGTGTACGTCCATAGACCTGTACCAAAGGACCACTTATTGACAAAGAAATACTTAGAAAAGATAACTGATAGAACTTCACGTGTAGCACGGATCTGCGCACTACCTTTCCCTCCTCGTCATTCATGAAAGTGGTCGGGTACGTGTATGAATTCGACCACAACGTCAGGGTCTGTCGTCTTCTGTCCCAGTTCATGATTGGATGCTGGGCGCAAATAGTTTCTCTGGAATGTCGTGATAGCCGTATTACAGCGTTGTGATGTCAACAGTTCAGATAGTTGGCGGCCTTTTGGAACAGAAACGCTACCCGTGGCTGGAATTCTTTCAGGACGACAGCGATTCCTGTAACGGCAGCGAATCTGGATATCAGCTGACCTGTCGACTAGTCAAGAATGACGTAACGAGATTATCTATTATCAAAGGATGAAGGATGAAGGAGAAAATCTTCGGCGTTCATCAATCCATTGATGAAGCGGCATGCATCCTGCTTCATCAAGTTTCGTTACAGGCGATAGATTGGACGCACATCTTGCCTATACAATGACTAGCAGTGGCCTATTGTTGCAGAAAGTCTGTGCTATTATCCTCCCAGAAGTCCAGTGCCAATTTTCCTACCTTGGAGCCATGGTTGGAACGGAGCGCCGAAACAAACGAACGGCTACGTATGTGCTACAGGACACTCCTAACCATTTACATCTTTGCTATTATGGTCTTATAATATTCTCCCAAAAATACATAAAAATGTCGATTGGAGCAAATGCTGATCTAGAACATTGTGCAAGTAGTGCTCGGAGATGCTTACGATCAATAGACCTTTAGTAGCGTAACTATCGATTAGCCCTTCCACATGTTCGGATTCACAAGAAGTGAAAACAGATACATTTTCATAAAACGTAAACTCTTTCTGTCCATTTTCAGGTTCCAGCGAGATCAAATCAACTTTAACTGCTCTGACGAATTTGCAAACGAACTAGAAAGGATTGACGTATTCGGCCCTTTGCAATACTTTAGGTCGGTCAGTCGATCGATTAACTATTATTAGAAATCGTTGTCGTCCTAAACAGAACCCTATTCAGAATGAAGCTAATCTCCTGCAGAGACCAACCAACGACTTTGTTGAAAAATATTTAGGAATATCGTAGCAAACTTTCTTAAGGCTCGAAGGAAAGATGATTTCACCCATTCCTCAACAGTTCAATAAAGAGATTAGAGCACACATCTTCATGCCGTAGCCGACATGACAGATTGAATGGAAGTGTTTGTGCCTGCACTGGACGGGTAATAGTAATACAGTTGCCATACGAGTCTATGAGCCTGGTATATGTCAAAAAGAGATTTTCCAACAGAAAGCAGCAAAAAATAATTGATTTTTTTAAATTAAAACGAGAAAACAAGAGGATCGATCCTAACCTTATCATCAAATTGACGTCATGCTGGATACAACTCCCATTTTCTGCTCTCAAGAAGCACCAATACAGAGCGGCTCGTTGATTATCAACGTAAAGAAATTGATATTTAACTGAAACTGCGTTAAATAAGGAACAATAAAAATAAAATGCATAAGATCTGAAAACATTTCTCCCTCTCATACTTGCCTTCCCTGTCCCTTTTTTTTACCCTTTTCCCACTTTTTTTTCCCCACAGACACAGTTTTGCTTTCATGTTCAGTGATGTTTATGGTCTCAAGAGCAGGAGAAAAAATAGCCGGCAAAAAAACGCCGGAGTTCTGCTGTCAATAAAGCGGATCGTCTTCTTCACACAGAAGAGACGGAAAAAATTAATTCAGATAGTTAGGTGATGCCCTTCTTTTGTTTTTACTTAATACCTCTTAAACATGGTAGCTCATGAACTAAACAATTAAATATATGAACATGTCCATAGAATGGTGAATAAAAATCATAACCTATACTTCACGGGAGCGCGTAGCGCAAGGGTTAGAGTATCTTAGGTACCATGCGATATAGATGGGTTCCATCGCGTGTCCCAGAGTCACCAAGTTTCCCATCCGTTCATGGTTGACATTTTGGTGTCCGACCTGTCTTGGAGGATAGCAGCACTAAGGATAGATCAGGAAGCCACCACGAGTCATTGTATAGATCAGATATGCATTCAGTCACCTCTAACGATAGTTAATATGATCAAATACATTGCACATCCCTCAAGTATTAATCAACATAACAGCTTTATCCTTTTCAATTCCTAATTTATAGTCCCATAAACACTGGCTCGATACTGCCCCAGGCCGACCTCTGTCATACTTGGAAAGTCAGCAAATGGGTCCACATATGGCTCGGAAGAACTCTTTTAGATCCATAAAGTTGGACGACTGCCAGTGTTGATGAACTGAGAACGCTCTAGTAGAGCTATCGCGGCGTTCAAAGAAGAATCTGCTAGATCAGAATTGAACAGCATCCATGAAGAAAGCGCAATCCTTAAGCGGCTGCCGAAGCTTGAAGCAAATGCTAAGACTTTCGTGGGTGACAGATGCTGGACAGTAAAAGAGTGCATGAGAGTGCTGGGATTTCCATAATATGTGAAGATGGACCATTAATAAATAAATAGTTAAAGATAAGTTAAAAAGTTTTCCCGCACGACCCATCTTCACATCTACTGTGCGGATCACAGCATTTCTTGCATTCACTTCGTTTCCATGAATGCATCCTCGAAGATCGTCAAATTTTTCGCTATATGGGTTCGGCTGCTGTTTAAGAATCGTCTTTCTCTTAATGAAAGTCGCCAAATAGTGTTGCTTCCGATTCTCCCTGAAAATCTGGGATATCCGAGCTAGAGCGTTCCCACTTGAACTGAAGGCTATGAACTCATCCAACACAAGTCTGGTGCTAACGGAATGAGAGGCTTTCTGACCTCACGAGATGATGGACTTTGTGAGCCCTGGGCCTATTGGAACCAGCAGTTTAACCAAAAAAACTTCTAGTATGCTTTAATCAGAATGAAATAAAATGACTTCCCTACAATTCATAGTATTCCGAAATTTCGGCACCAGACTATAACGATATTCTATGGTGACGTCGACTGTATAGTTGTCGAGTAGAATCGCTATGCCATCACCAGGACCAATGCATTCACTGTCGGACTCTTTTTGAGCGTAATAACGAACATGCATCATAGATGGACTGAAAACAGATATTGATTGATAAAAACAATGAAGACGTCGGAATACAAAATGGCAGGACTATATAATTTTTTTGAGATCAATAAGGAACTCTTGGGTACGCTGAATATTTCTATGTCTCCATATTATTTTCATTTCTTCAATTGTCCGACTGTCCAATTTTTTTCCAGTTTCTCTGTTTAAAGTGCATACTCGGTATCGTTGGGTGTTAAACTGATAACGGCCGACTGAAGAAATATCTTTGGATCAGCATTCAAATCGGCTGCGAAGTACCTGCAATGGAATGACGTCAGGAGAAGAAACGCATTTCACATGGAGATACTGTAATCAACAAAAAATTATTGATGTGACCTTACAAAAAGACTAAATGATGTCTGTCGAAAAAGAAGTAACTCAAGTATCCCTACCAAACTCCTTGTAGCATAGAGCTATTCAGTAGGCTCCATGCCTCAACGACACCACCACAAGACTCCGACGGACGTTGCGATAATGTCAGTTGATTTGAGCATTCATCTGCAGGAACATGAGATTTTGAAATCAAAAAGGATCAATAGACAGTACGAAAGTGGATTTTAGAAAAGTCGCTTCAATTTTTCCAAACCGACCGTCATTTAACTTCGGCCGCAAAAGAATCAACATGTTTTTAAACTGTTGAGCTCACACGAGATTGATAAATATATTTATTCCGGCTAACGTCTCGACGTCTCCGTCTTCATCAGAGCTTTCATCAGATCCTCATCCATCATCCTTATATGAAGAAGGCGAAGACGTCCAAACGTTAACCGAAATAAATATATTTATAAAGCTCGCGTAAGCCTTAATTTCTGTTCTTTACTCCGATTTCATTAAAAAAAATGCTTTGTTAAAAGACGTCGATGCCTCTCTTAATCAAACTCCAACAGGAAACACCTTAGGAAAATTAGAAATGTCGCCGAATATTTTATGAAAAACTTTTTCCTCTTTGATAGAACTAAGAACTACAAGGGTAAATTTAATATGGATCTTAACCAATAACTCGAAAGACCGACTTTCTATACACCTCGGCATAGATAGTTGATATATTTATTTATGTGATCTTATAAACTGATCTTCTTAAGCTGACGCGAGGTTGGTATAGATCTTCGTTGTCGTTGTTTTTGATGTTATTGAACGATGGCTGACGTTTCGGCGACTTCGCCTTCCTCAGAGCCTGGACGTACTTCATGTTAGAATGCTTTTTATTATTCGGTGGAAAAGAAGGTTGTGTTAATGAAGATCAAACTTTCAAATAGACGCCATATTGAACAGAAAGACCACTCACCGTGATGTTACGTGCGGAACTGGCCCACACGAAAAATAGCCATTTCCAATGGCAACGAAGTAGAAGCCTAGTAATATTTCGAAACCGACCTTCCCTAAACCTCGGTGTGATTAATCAATATGTATTCTTTCTTGATAAGCTTACACGAGGTTGATAAATATATTTATTTTCGGCTAACGTTTCGACGTCTTCGTCTTCCTCAGAGCCGGTGATCCGAGTCGATGGTCCATGCTTGTTGTTCGCCTCGACGTTGCGTCTTCGCCTTCGTGTCGAGCCAGATTTTCCTCAGTGAGCCATCTTCTCGAATGAGGCATCCTCACTCAGTGATGCCCTTTTATACGTGGCTTGACATTGATCGCGCGTGTAGCGCAGTGGTCAGAAAGGCTATGCAAAGCACACGGGATTGGTTCTCGCGCCCCAGGCCCGCCATATCTTTCATACCTCCGGGGTCGGCTATTTGGTACCGCACTTGTCTGTGAGAATAGCAGAACTGGCTCGATACATCGGTAGGAAACTGCTAGTCATTATAAAGGGCAGTTAAGTATCGAATCGCCTATAACGATGCTTAATGAAGTCAAATGAATGGCGCATCCCTCAGGGATTGATCAACGTGCCGAGAGCTATATCCTTTGTTAATGTTAAAGCTGTAAAGCTTTAACACCACCTAATGTAAATTTTTGACGATAATCGACCGATCGCTGGAGCATTTGAGAAAGCAGGAACTGTAGTAATTTATAGAGCAGTATTTGATCTTTTGCTATAGAGCAATGTGTGATTTTTATAAAGTAATCTATCAATTGTAAAGACCTCCAGCTCAAATTTCAAAAAAGCGGATGTGGGTTACGGTGCAGAAAACCGCCATGTTCTTCCTTACTAAATTCCTTTTCTTCATTTGCTTTCATACTCGAAAAATAATCCTTGATAAAAAGAAGTAAGAAAAGTATACACAAAATGGGCTCGAGAAAATCTAAACTACACTTTGGTGGAATGAGAGAGTTTGCACCTTACAGGTCTAAAGATTATTTTTTTGTTCGCTTTTTTCCCTGTTGAGTATTTAAAACAGTTTTCCATTTTAGTTTCTCTTCTTAATTCCGTTTTGAAGACAAAAGAAATATGAATCCCATTATGTTCATTGCTGACAATCGAGTTACAGTATGATTTAAAAACGATTGAAAGGAACTGATCAAAATTCTTATTTAAATGAATGAAAAACCCAGAGTAACCCAGAGTCATTATTATAATCATTATTATCAAGAAAGAATACATATTGATTAATCACACCGAGGTTTAGGGAAGGTCGGTTTCGAAATATTACTACGCTTTGTGCTAGCTGATAATACACCGACCTCTGCACGATGTGCGCAGTGATGTATGTCCGGAAGAAATACAAGTTGTTACCACCGGACATTGTCATTATATATCCACCATCAGCATCGTGTATAAAAGGGCATCACTGAGTGAGGATGCCTCATTCGAGAACATGGCTCACTGAGGAAGATCTGACTCGACACGAAGGCGAAGACGCAACGTCGAGGCGAACAACAAGCATGGACCATCGACTCGGATCACCGGCTCTGAGGAAGACGAAGACGTCGAAACGTTAGCCGAAAATAAATATATTTATCAACCTCGTGTAAGCTTATGAAGAAAGAATACATATTGAAGTAGAAGCCATTCGGATTAGAGAAAAACGTAGGGCAGTTCCTCAAAATAATATTTCTAACGTAAGTAAGACCCCTTTAAGCTACCCTTCATATCAAATGAAGTAAATCACGCAATTAAGAGGTGCTTAAGAAAAGTGGTCTTGAAAATTATGTAACGATTACTAACATCCCACCCAATACCCTACGCCGTCAGTTAGTTCGCAACCGTCTCTATGGTCGTTTGTGCAGCTCAGAAAACCGTATGAACTGCCCTAACGGGAGAGACGGGGATTGCATGAGTTTAGGTATAATATACTTGATCTCATGTAATGCATGCGGCGAGGAATATATCGGACGGGTAGACCACTTTGTGTCCGCATAAAAGAACATCTAGACGGGAAAGTTAAAATCCATCAAAACACTCCTCTGGGTACACATAGGGCACAAAACACAACGGCGATAATTTTGAAGTGAATGTGCGGATCCTGGCGCAGGAATCGAAAACATCAACGCGCAAAACTCTTGAGGCGTTTTGGATAAATTTCAAAAACCCAAAGATGAACCGGAAAGACGAATGCCTCACTATCACGTGTGACCTGGCGCTCTATTCCAAAATGATATTTTGACCCCGGGGTTTGTCTTGCTCGCGACTCCACGTGAACTACGTGTGGGCCAGTCCCACACGTAACATCACGGTGAGTCGCCTTTCTGTTCAATATGGCGTCTATTTGAAAGTTTGATCTTCATTAATACTTTAACTTTTTTCCACCGAATAATAAAATTATTCTAATATAAAACACGTCCAAGCTCTGAGGAAGGCGAAGTCGCCGAAACGTCCGCCATCGATCAATAACATCAAAAACAACGACAACGACAACGACAACGAAGATCTGTACCAACCTCGCGTCAGCTTAAGAAGATCAGTTTATAAGATCACATAAATAAATAGATCCTAACCAGTGTCTAAAAAACATCGTACATTAACAGAAGACACACGTTTATGAGTATTTTATTTCAATCCCACGGAATTGAAAAATATTGTCACTACTACCCAAGTTACCACTTCCAATTTATGATATCCTCCCAACCGTTTACTGATCATCGTGGCTTGCAGGGGCTTCTGGGTGTCAGTTGCGATGTACAATGGAGTGATTTATCCCCCAGAAAGGTCTCCCAAGCTGAAAAGAAGTCTGGCGTTTCCACTGGGAAACCCAGCTCAGAGCAAATCAATACAGGATACACCACCGTCCTGGTATCAGACTAGTTGCATGATCGAAAATCTCCCTCTGATCCACAAAGACTGCGACTGTCTGTGGTGGCGACGACATGGGACGCAGTTTGGCCAGGGTGACCGCGAGACTCCAGGGAACCACAATGGCCAAACCAGCAAAACACCGAAAAAATGGAAATAATGCTTAGGCCCGCACAACCAGTGAGGACGGGATATCCAAGTATCCAAGCAACTAAGTTTACGACATCGCCTAATTTTGAAAAAATAAAAAAACTGGTATGTGAGAACAAAACAACTTACGAAAAGTGTTTAAGAATATAAGATCGGTGGGATCGATACAAAACGTCTGTAATTGTCTGTAGATTTGATGGATTGTTGGCTGATCCATATGATCCTCGTCTGACCATACATATACTCTAAACATGATTAAAAACAACTATTCAATCTAAGCTTAATTTCTAAAAATCACAACCGGTTAAAGATAGAGGACAAACGACAAATCGTTCAGTATCGATTGATCCCTTATGGATGTGATATGCATTCAACCCCACTCGTTGCATCGTAAAAGTGATGGATGCATACCCGGCCTACATACTGACTTGTATTAGCTTACTAATGCATCGAGTCAGTGTTTTTATCCCCTGAAGGAGTCCGATACTAATTTTCCGACCACTGAGTGATGCAGATCTCAGCTTGGTTTGCTAGAGAAACGAACAAACGACCATGAGCGTACTGCAGAGAAAATCTAACCACTGGGCGAAATACAACCACAACGTTGCTGAGATATTTGCAAAACTCTGGACCGCAGGTGTCTATGGTGGGGAACGAACGCGCTATTATCCTTTCCGGGGAGTAACGCGTTCACCACCACACCATGCGGGTCCTTTGTTTCGCACGTCTCTCAGCTATTTCGCTTTCGTGGTTGTATTTCGCTTAGTAACCTGTCATGAAAATTATAGAAGGCAGAAAACAAAACGTTAAACATTGTGATTTCAACTACAGCCATAGCTTAACTGGGTTCTATGCCGATTTGCGCTCCCCAGATCAACCCCGCTGACGGGTGATTGCTGTGGCAAAAAGATCGATAGAAATAGCTGAGAGACGTGCGAAACAAAGGACCCGCATGGTGTGGTGGTGAACGCGTTACTCCCCGGAAAGGATAATAGCGCGTTCGTTCCCCACCATAGACACCTGCGGTCCAGAGTTTTGCAAATATCGCAGCAACGTTGTGGTTGTATTTCGCTTAGTAACCTGCCATGAAAATTATAGAAGGCAGAAAACAAAACGTTAAACATTCTAACCACTGGATTGCACCTACCCCATAACTATTCATGGCCTATAATTTCGCTAGTGATCAAGTGATTTGTGGTAAAACCCATGTGACCCCTTCCTTTGCAGCCGCTCCTTATCCATGCTAGACTATGTGATGCTGGTCTCCACGTTAAATAACTGAAAGACAAAACATAAAGGTTCCAAAAAAGGGGAAACGGCCGAAGCATCAGCGACTGCTGAATAAATCTTATTGTTGACCACCTCTTGTCTGTTCAAAACGAAAACAACGACTTAGTGAGGTCTCTGTTTCTGCCGCTCTTCAAATCTGCCCATAGAGTTTAGTTAACCTAGGAAATATGAATTATTTTAAGGCCCGACAACGCAACCATAAGTACCCAGCCAAGCTCTGTTATGGAATATATTTATTTTTAGTTAAAACTATGAAATAGCAAACTAGTAAGAAAGTGTATGCGCTTCAAATTTATATTTTTAGTAAGTATATGTTCAACCAACCTCCACGAATCACACGCCCCATCCAGTCCGATTACGAAGCAATGTATCGTAATATATTCATCACCATTTTCCCATATGATGGTTCCAGACCCTGAATAAATTTCCAAATAAAAATCATAGCACACACCAAAAAAATTTGAATGGACCTGCTTCAAAATTCACAGAAAATCGTATGGGCCAGAGCAGAATTTTCTGGCAATACGCCGGTTGAGCAAGAGTTAGTTTTCCTGGAATCTCGAAAGCCATGCTACGAATTTCTCAGGTTGTCGTCAATTGTCAGTTACTGACTGGGTTGTTACCAGCACTGCAGTTGTTCTTGCCATTAGTTAACCCTCAGCCAGACATTCGGAAAGAGATGTCAAACTTCTTCTCAACATGGAAATCTCAGCTGGTGAAATGATCCCAACGCTGTACATGGAAGCTGAGTATCCATCAACATCTGCTACGACGAAGGGGTAAGTCAATGGGTGGAGCGGAGTGCCAACAACGAATACGGAATTTTGACACTCCATAACTTTCTTCTAATCTAATTCAACAACGAAACTGTATTTAGACGAAAGTATGACTCACAGTCAATATTGGTATCATGTCCATCCAAACGCGTGTAGTTCGATACCACATGCAGCGCAGATTCACCGTTAAAACTCTGGGTGAGTTGAGTTTTGAAACACTTGTTCTGACTAAAAACTCAACTAATAGCCCAAAAAATCAACTTAGAGATGTTTTCAGAGGGAACATCGTTAAGGGAGTAAAGTGAGGCACTTGCAGTTCGTTATATTGTAATACCTTCACCTAGTAACTACGCTTTCAGAGATTTTCTCTCTCACACATCTTCTGTGGATTTTGCTCTCTTTCTTCTTCTCTCTCCCCCCCCCATCTATCTACCTATCTTTTGCTCTTAGACGTATAAATATCCATTACGTTTACAGCTCCAGCGTATTTTCAGGAGGAACGGAACACACGAAATCTCGACAAAATTTATTAACGTCGGCATGAAGACTTTTTTACATTTTAATAATACATCCACCTACCGTATCCATCGTTTTAATAATGCAATCACCCACCGTATCCATTCACAGATGGCGTTACTCTTATTCGTATAGACGCAGCTGATATGGGAGATTTGTTCATTCACTAGTGATGGGTCAATGTAAGCCGTTACAGTGAGTACTCGTGGTTCATCCTGCAAAATAAAAAGTAGTGAACAGCAATTTTTAGATATCCTCTCCAACACTCTTACAGTAACCGCGTCATTCATTTTGGTTTAGTATCACTTAACGTCATCTACAGTAATCCACATTACGATAGAAGTCCTAGTGCTGTAATGCTAAGTTTAAGTCAGTACGAGACAACCTCAGAAATTCCAAATTATCAGCTGCACTCCCACTATAAGGATAAAAGATAAAGCATTCGGCATTGATCAATCTCTGATGGATGCGCCATGCATTCGACTTCATTAAGTATCGTTTGGAGGTGATTAAATGCATATCTGGCCCTTACAATGATTCGCTGGGGCCAACCGATGTATCGAGCAAGTGCACCACTTCGCCACACGCGCCCCTGTGCTCCTAGTATACCTAAGTATAATTTATATTACGAAGGAGTTTCATAGTATGAAAGGACAACCAAATCCTCGAAAACTTTTCTCCGGTAGGTCACAACTAATGAATGTGCGATTCATGACTAAATGTAGTTCCCTAATGTTACTAAGCTCTTTAGCTTTTTGAGTTCACACAATGTAAAAAGTAAGGAATAGCCTGGAATGATCAAAACGCTTGAATTCTCATTCGGATGACTAATTGGAGTCGTCCTTCAAAGAATTGTTCATTTACGCCATCATTATTTTAAATATGGAATGCTACAGTGCTAAAACAAATCTGGAAGAGTGACACTAATTCTGGCAGGTCTCATCGTCCATCCATTTTCCAACGTGATACCTTTAGACAGATGCTTTGATAAGTGACAAACCGAGTCGCAGTCTCAATAGGTATACCCGACCTCAGACCAACCAAGTCTTCTTCCAATCCACGAAACCAGGCCACTGCATGTGGTGATGACCTGTAAACGCCTTAACTCAGCTATCCTAGTATTCTAGGGATAATCGGCATTCATGAAGAAGACAGTGACGTCAACTGCTAACCGAACATGAAGATCTGAAGCCTTCGGCGAGCGGTGAATGCGAGCAAATAAATCTTATGCAAGACGTGATGGCATGTGTAGAGTACATTGTGCTGAGTTATGAAAAAAAAATGCTGTAAAACTAATTCGCTGCCTTCTCGAGCACATATGAGGTTGTTAAAAGCTAAAAAACCCTCAGCGTTGATTAATCCCTGAGAGATTAATCCCCGTTTTAATCCTCTAACATTGGCTTCTGTCTGTTAAGTCTTATGAGCCAAAAAGCTAAAATAAAAGCTCGCGGCGTTAATCTAGCTCTTAGGGATGCGTCATGCATTCGACTTCATTAAGTATCGTTGGTGGTGACTGAATGCATATCTGGCCTTTACAATGACTCGCGATGGCCTGTGTATCGAGCTAGTGCTGCTATTCTCTCAGACAAGTCTGGTACCAATTTGCCGACCCCGGAGGATGGAAGACTTGGTGGGCCATGAGCGCCAGGATCGGTTCCACGTGTGTGTTTCGTGGTTCCAGTGGCACCTCCAGCCACTGCGCCACACGCGCCCTTGAGGCTGTTAGTACACTATTTATTTGCCCAAAAACCTGACGTTTAGGCGAACTTCTTCTTCAGACATCATTTAAAACTTAATCTAATTTTTCACTATTTTATAAAACTGTTTCAATCGATGTTAACATGAAAATAATAGAGTCGCTGCTGTAAATATGTCAGCATAAGAGAATTTTTTTGTGCTTCAGTGATAATAAGCATAGTAGAATTCAGCAACTATGCCAAACAACTGAAAATCTCGTGGTTCTATAATTGAAAAAGAATCCCGTCAAAACAACCCACAAAGAAAACTCGAATATTTGTGGAAGGCGTCTTTTGGTTTTCCACCCGACATTCAACATCTACGAACTCGTTGTTCTCGCCGATTTTAGCGTGAATCAGTTTCTGATCCTCATCTACCACTTCATCACCGCAAGCCGCTAAATTTCGAGAAGTTTTAAACACCGACTACAGTGTCCTAACTTTTAGTTACTGCCTATTTTTTTCACGGCAGCATAAAAGGTGAACTACGACTACAAAGATGCTGAGATATCAGCAAAATTCGGAGCTCATTGGGTTTCGAACCCGCGAATACCCTTATCGGGAACCACTTAGCTGTGCACCACACCAACCAAGATTCTTACTTTGGCTTTTTCTCGGCCACATTTTTACTCTGTTGATTCTTACAATGCTCAATGTTGGGACTCTATGACCTGCCTTCAGTGTTTTTGGTACAATGACTCTAACATTACAACAATCATGGCAACACGCAATCCATGTAATGAATATTCTGAGCTATACGAATATCGAAGAATGCATAGGTGGGAAAACACATACAACACAACTGCAGCTGACGTTTCAACAGTATCGCCTTCTTCAGAGTCTGGAAGGGTATACTGATATGCAATTTACTACACCAAACGACATGGTCGTGGTTCTATTCCGCACCTCGGGTAAACCAAGCTCCCTAACTCTCCGTAGTCGGTAATGCTTCTATGCGTACAACTTGTTTAAAAAAAGACTCCATTTAAAGTCTTTGGTACATGCTCCTATTGTTCTCTGCGATGCGTTCTAAATATTTGCTCTCCTGTCTCACTGCAACTTCTTCTATGATGACATTTTCAACTGGATGACTAGGTGATGCTATAAGCTTTCGTGTGAATTAGCAAGGAAGGGAACTGGTAAGTTCATGGCGGAACAGATATCTCTCACTTCAGGTTTTTCAGAAACTAATGAATGGTTGGTGATTCCATTTTTCTTGCTTATCTTTTAGCAGAAGTTTTTTGAATTATATATTATTGCAAAAATCACTTTGGCCATTTTCGTACTGCATAGTTTAGTTATAATACAAACCGTGTTTCTCAGAAACTTTAAAGAATTTAAACTTAAACTTTAAAGGTGAGAATTTTTTATTTTTCAATTTCAGACGTTAAAATAGCAATTTCAACGACTTTATTTCTACGAGTTAAACTTGGGCGTACACGTAGCAAACGGATGAAGACATTAATGGAGCCAAGGCAATGTCAACGAACGCACAGTGTAGCGTTGTTTTCAAAAATTTCGTCTTCTCGAATTCAACCTTAAAGCCGAACGAGGTCGAGGAGGTGCTTCTGTTATTGATGACGGTAAATTAAAGGCTTCCCTGTAATCAAATACACGCACAACTACTTGAGAACTTGTAGAAGGACTCATATAAACATCTCAACTTCTCCGGAGAACTTTAAAAACATTAGGAAGACGAAGAAGCTCAAAAAATGGATGCGGCACGAAATGAATGACAACCAAAGCAATCACAGGAATCGCTGCGCAACAAAAACGTGCCGTTTCTCGACCGAATTGTGATGTGTAACGAGAAATGGATCCTCCACGGCAACCGATCGGATCAGTTTCTGGACCGCGTTGAAGTTACGAAGAATTTCGCAAAGATGAAGTTGCACCAAATAAGGTCATGCTGACGGCTTGATTGTCTACAGTTGCTTCCATCACACACAAAGTCGCCTGGCGAAACAGTGATGGCGCAGAAGTGAGTCCAACAAACCACTAAAATGAACACAAACTCCTACGGTTACAAACCGCATTGGTCAAAAGAAAGCGGCCATTCTATCTTTACGATAACGCGTGTCGCACTACCGACACTGTAGAAGTTGAACGAGCTGGGCTATGAAACCCAGTTTCATTCACCATAAAAGCCAGCCAGATAAAGCTCTCGACGCTGATCAATCCATTCGCCATGCGTTCAACTTCACTAACATTGTTGGAGGTGATTGAATGCATATCTGGGTCTTACAATGACTCGCGAATAAGTTTGGTACTCGTTCGTCCATTCCGGAGGGATGGAGGACTTAGTGAGCCTGGGGAGCGGGTATCGAGCAAATGTGTATTGCTGGGTGCCTCCGACCGATGCTCTATACACTTCCTATCTATCTTATCCACCATATCTGTATCACTTGTCTCACCTGTGGTCCCGTTGATCGTCGAATGACTCGAGCGGGCGCCAGTAAATCCTCCAGTTTTCCCTATCACGTGCAAAAGTAGCCCAATGGCCCTGTACTGCAGCCTCATCCACCATACTTCTTCAAGCATCTCGGCAACTCCCTGTACGAGGAATGCTTCAGAAACCAAGCCGTAGTGGAACTAGTCTTCAAGGACTTCATCGCCTCCAATTATCCCGATTAGCAGACAATTCAGTTTTTTAAAACCATTTGTATCCCCAAGCTTATTTATCCTTGGAAAAAACTTATAGATTCTAAGAATTCGTATCTCGTTTTAAAAATTTTGTTCCGAGTTGGGATATACCACTTTAGACACACAGGTTAAAACCCGACATTAATTTCAGATGGATCTAATGCATCATTACTAGATCTCAGGGTTTCTCCACAAGGAAAACTTAGTAATATTGTAATTATGCCAAAAATGTATTTAATAACCACATTTTCGTGAGTCAAATCCAAGGAATTCTCAAGAAATTTAAATCGACTCTCTATAACAAGCGTTTTTTAAGTGGAACTCTAATGGGAAGATATCCAATTGGACTCTCTAATTGGAAAAGATCCAGTGAAACTCTCTAATGGGAAGAAATCCAATGGGAAGTCTCACTCGTAACATCACGGCTCTGAGGAAGGCGAAATCGCCGGAACGTCAGCCATCGACCAACAAGAACAACAGCAACACCAACAACAACGACAACGATAACGAAGACCTATACCAACCTCGCATCAGCTAAAGAAGACCAGTTTATAACATCATGTAAATAAATAAAGTTTATCATTTTTAAAGAACAGTGGAATACAAAAACTTCTTACTGTAGGTGTCCAGTGTTTGAAATTGCAAAATATCGATGCAAGCCGCGTCCTCAATAAGTTTTGCCGATTTGAACAGCTGAAATAGCAGTGCGTACAGCGCACATGGAATACTAAAGAATAAAAGAGTTTCACTAGTGTATGAGAACCTGAAGCGTCTGTGGGTGCCGAGAGTTACTCATTATTATCACTAGTTCCTCATTTGGAAGACAGTTACCTAAAATAGGGAAATGAAAACGAATCATTCTGTATACGAATTATTTAGGAAAAGAAAGTAGATATTGCTAAAGACTTTTCCCAACGAAACCAGCTCATGTTCTAGAAGAATTCCTTCCATGTAAAATAGTGTGCTACAGTACCCTTACCGTATCCGTCATCTTGTGCGCACCCATAGACCACCATATTCATTTCTGTGTTCTCTTCACCAGAATAATCATGATAAATGGCCCGCAGTCCAACTTAATTCCAAAAGTTAATAAAAATTCGGATAACTGAATTGAAATTATGGATAAAAACTAAAGTCTAAGTGATTTTTAAAAAAAGCACCACGATTTTGTAGCGATGCTTTAAGTTTAAAAACGTAAACTACAAGTGAAAGCTCCTATCACGAACCTATGAAGAGATGTCCGTTCTCTGTACGCAATTCCATGAGATAACCAAGTTCTTTCTTTGTCCAAACACCAAACAAAGGAGGCATACATGTTCCATTTCTAAAAGGTTCTAAAAGGGGACGAACACAAAAATACAGTTTTCGCCAAAGAAATCTAATAAAAAGACTTATAAATAAAAAATATCATCTTTTGTGTACCTTGCTTCATTGATAAGCTAACACGAGGTTATAGAAAACAGAGAAGGCTTTCGGCGTTGATCAATCCCTGAGAGGTGCGTTTTGCATTCAACTTCATTAAGTATCGTTGGAGGTGATTGAATACATATCTGGCCTTTACAATGACTCGCGATGGCCCACCGATGTATCAAGCCAGTGCAGCTATCCTCCCAGATAGTCTGGTAACAATTTGCTGACATCGGATGGATGGAAGGCTTGGTGAGCCAAGGGCACGGGGATCAATCCCATGAGTGTATCGCAGGACGCCTCCGACCACTGTGCCACACGAAGTTGTTAGCAATATTTATTCGATTAACTTTTCGACTTCTTCGTCTTCCAGACTGTGGACATCGACTTGCATCATTGGCTTTGAGGAAAATGAAGACGTCGAAACATTAGTCGAATAAATATTGGTAACAACTTTGTTAGCTTATCAATGAAACAAGGGTACATTGATCATTTATACCGAGGCTAAATGAGAGTCGGTTTCCCATGATAACAGCTTTTATGTTGCTCAACACTGTGACTGCTTCGCCACACTTCAAATCTGTCTCGCAAAACCCTTTCACTAAGGACTGCAGTATTAAAACGCAAATATTCTGATAATTTTAAGATAGAAAACAAAATTTCTAATTCTTTGGAAATATGAACGTCAGCATGAGTTTTCACAAAATCTTAAGTGGAAAAAAAGATTCAGTAGCACATGTTTACGGCCTAGCAGAAAGAAGTTCTTCTCTCTCCAAGGGCTCACACGTTTGTTTTGACCTGATATTCTGCCATGAAAAAAAAAACACCCTGTCCACTCCTGTTGACGGATCAATGCTGATACCATCGTTAAGGTAAAGAACTGATTCAGAGAAAGTCAAATCGGGTGCCTTAGTGGTGCAGTAGGTAACACGTAAGCCCTCGGAAAGCGTAATCGCGGATTCGAATCTGACCTAAGGTCTAGGTTTTGAAAACATCTCAGCACCATTATGGTTGTCTTTCATATAATACCCTGCAATGAAAGAAGAATGAAGAAAATAGGAAGCTACACCTTTTCACTTCCTTTTTAAGTTTCTACGTCCATCGTTTTCAAAATTGCTTTCAACAAAAAGAGGTCTAGGTCTAACATGTCAATGGGAGTGTTCACGAGGAAGTAACAATAAAGAGTAAGTATCAGCAACAAGCAGGCTAATTTTACCAAGGAACGTACATAGAATGATATTCAGTCATATTCAGAAGTTCATCACCATCAACTTCGAGACGTATCAACGACGAATTCACGTTGAACGGTAGAAACGACCGTGATGACGGCACCTTCATCGCAACCACAAACCACGAGCCATTGTACTAAAAGAACAGTTGTAATTCGATATAACCCAGTGTTAAATTGATTTTCAAGGAGATAAAGAGAAAAGAAAATGAAGGAAATACCAACAGACTACGGATATGTATTGATTTCAATGCGTACGATGCAAAAATAGTCGCTCCTTCTCGCTTTAAACCAACGTCTCAGTTCACAGTTAATTTGGTTGAATGGGATAGGGAAACATCAAGATCTACACATTTTTGCTAACAAGGCAGAACCCATTTTACTTTACTTGGATAAAATGCTCATTTTTCGATAGCCTATTGTATGTATGGGAGGAGTGTGCGCGTGTGGCGTAGTGAGTCCTGCAATAAACATAGGATCGGTCCTCGCGTTCGTGGCTCACCAAGTCTTCTATTATTGCGGGGTCGGCAAATAGGTACCAGACTTGTCTGCGAGCATGGCAACACTGGCTCAATACATCCATAGGCCACCGTGAGTCATTGTAGAGGCCATATATGCATTCAGTAATCTTTAGCCATGCTTAATGAAGTCGAATTTATGGGATGGGGCATTCCTCAGGGATTAATCAACGCGAGAACTTTATCCTTTTTATCCTTTATACAGTACGTATTCAATACAAACAATTTTAAAGATGGAAAGATGATATGTGAATAAACACATATACATATGTATATACTTTTATATACATATATATTTGGGTAATGCAACTGATAAAAAGCTTTTCTATAATATTGTTGAGTCTCCGCCCCAACTGCTTAAATGGTTTCCAACTTGTACATGGAAAGCTCTCCCAAAACGATGAACTTTTACCCTGTTCAAACTATGGAATAGCCGAATATCCCCAACGCTATACCAATCTCCTCTCATCCTGAACGATTCCTAGTACAACTCAATAAGCGCTATGTTATGGATATGTAACGTCCCTGGATACGGACCATAACTGAATCGTTCACATTTCCAAATATGGAGGATTTGGCCGTGAGTGACCCACCTATTACACTGATACTCGGCAGACACTCTGCTGATGCTTGTTAACATGAAGACTCGAAATTCACCTAAACTCCCCAGAAGTGAACCGTACAAAATAATTACCTGCGAAGGATCTAATACAGGGTAGCTGAGCTGTACATGACACTCAGTACTACACTGTACATGCAACGAGAGTTTAAGAACAATGAACAGAAGCGGCTGTGCGAAGAGCTGCATTACCAAGCAAATGGCCCACTCCTCCATCCTGTCATCAATCAATACCTCGTAGTATCACGGAGCCACAAACACTTGCGATCTCCTGAGGCAAAAGCGAACTCTATGTACAGAACTTCACCAACCGAAGGAATGCTTCAAGCGAAACAGAAGCGCACCCAACGCATTGTTGAAGATGTCGTTCAACAATACGCAATATGACCTGGTGCAAGGTGGTGTAGCAGATCGGTTAGTGAAGTAGATTATCAGAATTAAGGTGCTGGTTCAACCCCTTCCCAACGCTCTCCTCCAATTCACATGGTGGCGCACTACCTCGTGTATTTCTAAGACTGCAAGATTAATCGACTGGGTCTGTATTTTATGACATTAATTAAGAAGACGAAACACTCAAGCAATAGCCAAAACATCACACGAAACGTTCAAATACTTTTGTGGACGATAAATCCCGCGACGAGTCGAATCTGAGGAGCGCTGGGATCCACATAGTAGATGTGATGACAGTTCATGTAATTTCTTTAATACCCTGTTCCGCCCTCGAATCGTGCTAATCAGACCTCTTAGCTCTCCAGGTTAATATCAGACTTACATGGAAAACTCCCTCCAATCCATGAATTCTGGCGACTGCCTGATGTAAACCCCTAGAAATGTACACCGAGATGAAGTATTAACAGAACTCCACATGCCCTATTTGTGTAGAAACCATTCTACGGTTATTACATGTGTAGAAAAATATTAGTGACTTACCTTTGTTGAGTTCCATTCACTATACTACTATATTCGAAGTACTAAAAAAAGTAGAGAAATTTGTTGATGCTTCTGTATTTACTAAGGTAAAATTTCAAATAATTTAAATCAATAATGCGCAGAAGAAAGTAATAGCGATAACTGAGGGCGACAATCAGCAAACTGGGTACAATCATAATATCATCGAGGTGTTTGCTAACTAATCAGTAGCAAGATCTTAGAAGAGTGATAAGCCCTTCAATGCATCCTTCACATGCTCCTTGCGATACGGTTTCAATGCTATACAAACCGATTGGTCATCTTCAATCCAGACCTTAAAAAGAAAAATCACAATAATAAGTGGGAAGAAACGCGGAAAAGTGCTAAAAAAGGGCCTAAGAAAAAGGAGAACAAAACATGAGCTGTTAGATTGATCAGTCACTTTTGCTGTTTTCTAAGCAAGTTTTAGAACCTAATACACTTATTCCTCCCAACGATTTACAGCCTCATCGTGGCTGCGAGGTGTTCCTAGGTGTCAGGCTGCGATGTACAGCGGGGGATTCATCCCCCAGCAAGGCCTTTCAAGCTGAGAAGGAGTCTGATGTCTCTACCTAATAGTAAACGAATACCACGATCCACCACCGTCCTGGCGGCAAACTAATCCCATCGTAGCAAATCTCTCTCTGATCCACAAGAACGCCAACTGCCTATGGTAGTGACGACCTGAGGAAGGTTCCGTCTAGACTAACCTCGGGACTCCAGGGAACGACAGTGGTTAAAGCAGCAAATCTCCGGAGAACGGAAATTATGCTTGGGCCCGCACAACCAGTGAGGACGGGCCATCCAAGTGCTTAAGTAAGTAATACACTTATTATTCTACCAATGATAATGAAACGGCTTCCGATCTGTGTGATTACCAATATCACCTCTCAGAAGTTCTTAAATGTCAGTGATTTACACGGTGCTCAATTGTCTTCACTTATTTGTGTCCAACAACATCACACGGTGAATGTGAAAGCGAGGCATCGAATTCTACATTTTTGGCAAGATTCTCCTAGGTGATACACAGAAGAAGGCCACAAGGTAACAACCAGTGGTGGTCAATCTACGTGAGCAGCACTCACGAGTGGTTTCAACATGCTTCATCGCCAAGCGACCAAGCGAGCTTCACTTCTTGATAGCACTTCATGTTCGAAGGAAGGATCTATGCTGACTAGAAGGTCAATGCTTGTCAAGAACAACCCATAGCCTCATTTCCTACCATTAATGATTCTAAGATATACTCGTTTATTTATAGACGAACCTTATTAAATTGTCTTAATAAAAGAAGAAAGAAGAAATGAAAGAAAATGGAAATTAGAAGGATCCTGGTCCCAAAGACAAAGGAAGGAACCAACCAACAAAAAATACGAAAAACGATGAAACACGAGAGGAAGCTACGAATTCCTTCTGATATAAATGTCTAATGAAGAAGAGCACATATTCATCCGACTGGAAAAAAAAAACTCAGAAGTGATAGGTATCTTCCAAAACTAACTTTATGGTCGATATCGCATCTTTCCAAGCTCTCACGGACTTCTAACAATTCTGCCTCAGACTGAACCTAAATTGACACCCGTACAAAATCTGTCGAATTTGTGAGCAAAATCAAAAAGGTACCCCTAAAGTGACTTTGCGCATGGAATCCAACTCCTTCGTATATTCTATTGTGTTCGGATCATTCCTGAACCCAAGCCACATGTCAATGGCAAAGCAACTAAGAATAAACTCGAAAAAGATCTTGATCGATAATGTAAGCAGAAGAGAAATACCCTTAAAGCAGGTGAGCAGATAACCACGTACCTGAACAACCACATCGCTGCAGATGCTGCATGAGCAGCTTGAGTACAAACTGCACCCAAAGGCCAACCTTGTGATGACATTAAGTCTCGACGTAGCACAAGGTACATCACGTAGCTGCTTGGACAGGACATTTCCTGGGTCTTGCTTGGATGTGTGCTAAATTCACTTCCAAAAATGGTGATACCTGTAAAGATCAACAGAAAAACATATCAAACGAGATCAAAGACAGGTAGCATCGAAAGGATGTGAAGTTCTCTGACTAAGCAGATCAACTAACAACAGCAAATTTTTATTGGGCTTTCAGCGTCAGTAACGAAATTGTTCCTGCTGCAGAATATGGAAAAAGTACAGAAAATTGGACAACTGAACAACATAAGAAACTGGAAACGTTCCTGAATACCGTAAAAGAAAAATGCGGCACTCTACTATGACCTTTACTAGGAACTCTTCTGTCATGGTGTTCACTAATATTGACTGATTCAGGCTAACAATAAAAGTATGACTCGAACTACCTACATGAAGAAGAGTATACCCAAGTCTGATAAACGTTAAAAAATCAGATACAAAAGCGGCCCCTAGTTATTTCAAGGAGTCCAGAAAAGCCTCGCAACAGCGAACACACTGGTGGTAAACCTAAGAACGTCATTATAATAGTGCTGAACGAGAAAGAAGCCCAAAAAAAACAGCTGCAACCAACTTGTTCGAACATTTCATCTCCAGATTCATAGTAGGGATCTGGGACCGTTCGATGTCCTTGAGGGTCATACTTCCCTAGTAGCTCTACTATCGCCTTTCCTTTCGTTTGCTTCTCCAAATCACGTAGATCGCTAAAATATAAGGATTCCTACGAACCATACAAAGAAAAAAAGCTCTGCAGAGATAAAGAATCGGAGTGTTTTACAACCCAAAAGGTTTAATAGAAATAAAGAGGGTGAGCTAGTGCATGAAAAAAAAACATTGTTGAATCCTGAACACTTATAAATCTTCCTACAGAGAGATATCTCCATCTACCCATGAATTATACCACAAAAAACCACGACATGTTCAGAATGGGACAATAAGGAAAGAAAAAGTAAAGGATAAAGCTCCCGCCGTTGATATATCAGCCATGCATCCGACCTCAGTAAGCACCGTTGGAGTCGATTGGGTGCACATCTGGCCTTTACAATGACTCGTGATAGCCTATCGATGTATCCAGCCAGTGCTGCTACCTTCCCAGACAAGCATGGTACCAGTCCGCCGACCCTGAAGGGATGGTGGGCTTCGTGGGCATGGGGTGCAGGGATCGATCCCATGTGTATTTCATGGCGTCTCCAACCACTGTACTACACGCGCCCTCGATCCACCGATGTTGACTCGATAACATAATCACAACCCTTATGACTGATCTATAAAGTTGTAGTAGCGTTTCCGTGTTACACCTAATCCTGCTTTACTTCTCAACGCATGTCACAACTGCTAGAGAGCAGTCAAAAAAGAATACAATGAAGCTCACCTTATATTACTGTCATCCATCCCAAAAATGTAGTCGAACTCTCGAATGTCCGCAGTAGTCGCCTGAAAGAAAAAATTGCTTAAAAATCTAAACAACCTCGCTTGTAGTCTCAAAAATCTACCACTCTTGCTTTGTGCACGTAGTCAGTGATTCCGAACTTCTTCAGAGTGCTTAGAGCACGTCTATCTGGTGACTTACCGGAGTGGAAACCAATTATCGCAGCGCTATCCACTTCCCATCTGGATTGTTTTGAAAAATCTTATAAATACACAAGCTTTTTTAGTATTCTAATGATTCTGCTTGGAAAACAATCCACTACATAAGGAAAGAAATTACGATATATATTGTAAAGCTTACTGATCACGAATCCCTCTTTTCTTAATAATGTCTAGAAACACTGCTTCGGCTATGGGCGACCGACATATATTCCCTAAAATAATTTCTCAGCACTTTACTTACTTCGATACTTGGATGGCTCGCCATCACGGGTTGTGCGGGCTCTAGCACGTTCTCCACTTTTCGAAGTTTTGCTGGCTTAGCCATTATGGTTCTCTGGAGTCCCGAGGTCAGCCTAGCCAGTCTGCATCAGATCGTCACCATCATAGGAAGTCCTCGCCCTTGTGGATCAGAGGAAGATTTGCCACCATGCGACTAGTTTGGTAGCAGAACGGTGACGGCTCTTGGTACTCGTTTACTCTGAGTTAGGCTTCCTGATGGAAATGCCGGACTCCTTCTCAGCTTGGGAGACCCTGCTGGGGAGATGAATCCCCCTGTTGTACATCGTATGCCGACACCCAGAAACACCTCCCAGCCACGATTAGGCGGTAAACCGTCAGTTGGGAGGTTTCATCACTTTACTCAGGTATATCATCTAAGTACCTGAAGGTTTTGGCTAGCTTTAATAGTGAGATCAGAAATGTTGTACGGAGTATAAGTGCACTTACATAACCGCCGTGGGTGTTCTCCTTTCTAGCATGTCTAATGAAACAACGATCCAAATTTCAAATAAGTAAAAGCTTGCTCAAAAGCAGCTCCAAAAGTTGGAAAAAAATTACCTACCTAAGCATACAAATAGAATGCTCTTCTTCGGAGCCATTGCAAGACTTCAAAATCTACTTCAAGCGAGGAGAAACCTACAACTTTAAGCACGGTATTCTTCACAACAAGAGGCACTTTTTCCACTGATAGAGCATTTAGTGGAAAAATCGATAAGTTAGCTTCGTAAGCAGCGACGAAAGTGGTTTTACCTTAACCAAGCCCCTTAAAGCGTTAAATAGTGGGCGACAGTAGACACAGAATAAATGGCCATAATACTGTAGGGTCCCAAGTAAGGACGTGCTTATTCTACGTCCACTGCTATAGAATCGTCGACATTTGGAGGCATCGAGGCTATACATACCTTAAGGTATTCTGCTGGTTTTTTTTGGTACATGACGGTCCAAGGGGTTTTAGGTTGGTATTTTTGAGAAGTTTAATGACCTCTTAGAACGTGATGTACATGGATTGGTGTTGAAAACTTTCTCCGAATCAGAAGCCTAGGCATAATCCAGGAATAATTTCTCTTGAACTTATCGCAAGTCTGGATGCTTACTCTTTATTAAGAATTCTCTAAGATGTGGATTTTCATATGCTGATTTTTTATCTGTTTTTGATTTTATACGTCTGTAGTCTAACTCTGCTGCTGAATCATTCCTACGTGTGATTTTTCAACGTTTTCAGGATGTTCTCTTTGTGTCAAAAGCTGTTTGCCGTAAGGTTCAGTCCTTCTGAACAGTCGGCGAGAACGATTGCTCGGATACCACATTATGAGTACCACATAAGGTTCAGTCCTAAGGATGGCCGAAAGCGGCCCTCACAAGACGTCCTCGATCGGTTTGTGTAACGTTCTCCATATAGGTTATCTAACAGTTTTAGGAGAAATCTTATAGGTTCAAACGCCTGAATAATGGCATGTGGATTCGAGCGCATCCAGGAAAACACAAACAGCGTTACGCGAAGGATAAAGTATTCCAGGAAACGAGTTTATATCTCGAGACTTGTACCAAGGTGTAGTCCCTTTTGCTTAGGTATTTGTACATTCTTTCTAACGGCTTACAGCTTCATTATGGCTGGGAGATGCTCCTGGGTGTCAGGCTGCGATGTACAGCGGGGGTTCATCCCCCCACCCCCCAAGGCGTTCCATCTTGAGGTTTCCGACGATTCTGTCTGGAAAGAGCTAAAAGTAAACCAATACCGGGATCCACCACTGCCCTGGTATCAAATTAGTCGCACGGTCTTAAATCTCGCTCTGGTCCACAAAGGCGGCTGCTACTTGTGATGGCGATGACGTGGGGCAGATTTCGGCCTGGCTAACCTCAGGACGCCAAGGTATCACCATGGCTAATCCAGCAAAACTTCGAAAAGGGTGAAGATTGTGCTGCGGCCCGCACAACCAGTGAAGGCGAGCCACCCAAATATCCAGCCAAGTAAAGTATTTGTCCATTAACCTCCGTGACTTTTCAGTACACGTTGAATCTGTTGCACAATCTTGACAGTTGAACTATACTGGGCGCGTGTGATGCAGTGGTCGGAAGCACCCTGTAATACACGTGGGGCCGACCGCGCCCAAAGATCGCGTGGTCCTCCATCCCTCCATAAAGGCTGAATATGCATGAAGTCACCTTTAATGGTACTTAATGAAGTCGAATGCATGGCGCATCCCTCAGGGATTGATCAACGGCGAAATCTTTTGCTTTTTTTTTTACTTAGTACAGAGTAACTGTTTACCTTGAGTTGATAAGAAACTGGTTTGCCTACGATGGTCTTTTGTCCTACGTTAAACCTAAAGAATGTTTAGGAACAATGTGAAATGCTTGACAAGATGATGACTCCGTTTTGGTTGCGGCCTCATCACTATCCAGACGATCCATATGCACCTTATCATGTAAGGCATGGTATCGATTCTCCAAGAGTGGATGACAAAGGAAAACTGATCCGCGAGAGGCGTAAGGTATCCTTTCTTCAATGGTTTTCATTGAATAGCTTTGCTTACTTGATACTTGATACTTGAATGGCCCGTCCTCACTGGTTGTGCGGGCCCCATCATAATTTTCGGGTAGTTGCTGGTTAAGCCGTTGTGGTTCCCTGGAATTCCGAGGTCAGCCTGGCGAAAGTCTGCCCCAAGTCTTCACCACCACAGGCAGTCGCAGCCCTTGTGGATCAGAGGGAGATTTGCCACCATGTGACTTTGATACCAGAACGGTGGTGAATTCTGGTACTGTTTGACTCTTAGCTAGGCTTCCTGGCGGATACCCCGGACTCCTTCTCAGTATGGGAGACCACGCCAGTGGATAAATCCTCCGCTGTACATCGCAGTCCAACATCCAGGAACACCTCTTAGCCACGATGAGGCGGTAAACCGTTGGGAGGTGTTCATGGGTGTTTTACTAGAATGTTTTGCCGGAGTAGCTTTACTCTATATTGTTTATGATTCTATATCATTTCTAAGCCTTCGGACACTAATGCATTATATTTTCTCTTGGACCAAAGAGCGATTGCAGCTATCAAATTTGCTGATAACCCTTGTGTTTTTGTGGCAACGTATCGTTATTTTCCAGTAGACACCGTTAAGAGTAGTTGTAGTATTAACTTTTATATATACTGTGTTTCTACAGGGATTTCTTGATAAAACAAGTCTATTGAGAGAATTTGAGTGGTGACATATTTAACCTAGTATTTTCTGTCTTGACATTTATTTAGACCGTTTTCAGGTTCTCTTGGATGACATTACGTCTGATAGATATTTTCGTGATAGATAGCGTAGTTCTATTTATGGTCGCTTGTTTCCTGTATAAAGAGATTCATGAAGTTTGAACGTTTCACTGGCGTTGCATGGTGAGTGATTCTTGTGTTCTCTGATGGACCAGACATAGGTCAAGAATCATTTGTTATGTTGAGACAGTTCGCTGTATCTGCGAGAAAGCCGTTGAGTGGCATATATCTATCTTCTCGAACCGATCATTTCAGAGTACTCGACATTATTCTTTTTTAGGTATAGGAAAATAACGTGTTAAAAATATGTGTGTATTGTTTTAGTACAGTGTTGAAGTGTACTATAGAGTAACAATATACTTCACACTGAAGGAAACAGTAAATTCTTCCTTCCTGCTGTAGCTGGCCTGATTTTTCTGATGACACATGCAGGTTGCTACAGGATTATTGTTGCACTGCAGTTTTTCCCGGAGTGTCTTATTACTGATTATTCCACGATTGACATTTGAAACTGTACGATAAATGGGTTCAATCACAGTTGTTGTGTGCTTATTTGACCATTGCATCTTCGAAACTCGGACCTACTATGTCACAGTTTCAATCTATTTCGTTTTTATAAAAGTCGCCCGTGAAAATCTGTTTCTCTGCGTTATAGAAAAAGGATAAAGCTCATGGCGTTGATCAATCATCATTAGAAGCGATTGAATGATACCTGGCCGTTACAATGACTACCCTACCTATGTGTCGAACCAATGCTGCTCTCCCCACTAGACAAATTTGAAACCAATTTACTGACCCCAGAGGGACGAAAGGCCTGGTGAGCCTATAGCTCGGGAATCAATCCCATGTATAATGCAGGGCGCCTCCAACCACTGCGCTGCACGCGCCAATTTGTAGATTGTAATATCTCATAATCTCGTCGCATACTTCCTGGATTATTAAGCTAACATGGCTTGTAGGACCACTTATTTGGCTAACCTTTCAGCGCATTAGCTTTCTTCAGAGCAGCGCTGATCCGAGCCTATGATTCACAACTCTATTTTGAAAAGGTGACCACCGGGTCTGGAAATTTCATTTGGGCGGCACTACCTCTACTCGATTCGAATCGATGCGACTAAGAACACCTATCGCGCCATAACGACCACCTTGGGACCATAGACTTGGATTAACGCGGTTACTCTACCCGGATAAATCGCTTTACTAACCTCGTGTTAGCTTCGTAATCCAAAAAGTATTGATTATTCATGCCGGGCTTTAGTGGAATATCATACACATCATGCTGTCTTGTAGGTAATCTCCTTAAGGAACACGCTTCCTTAAGAGCCACTTTTGTCACCGTACAGTTCCACTTGTCCATTTTTTGCTTATTTTCAAGACATGAATGACTCATTCGTACTTCCGATATGTATTTCAATCATTTTCATAGGAGAGATGTTCATCAGAAGTCTGAACCACATTCTCACCACATATTTTATGCAGTAGTTGTGTTACAAAAAGCCACCCAAGCGGTGAGTGGTGAGGAAAATGCTCGACGTGGTGTCCATACTGACTTTCATTGTCCTTTCCCAGACTCGAGGTTAAGTTTTTTAAAGCAGCTTCTAGATGGACGTTTCATATCGGTTCGTATCCTTTGAGTAGAAGTGGTATACGTCTAATTTGTGCTCATAAGTTACACACGTTAGCGACTAATGGTTAATGTGGAATGTAAAGGAAAAGTGGGTGCACCACCGAATTTGTGCCATCGATGCCACCTTATTTTTCGGTGGGATGTTATTCTGCGACTGAAGAATATTCACCAGATTCTTATATGATGTTCTGCTTTATCTAATGGACTGGAAAAGTCGTGGAATTTAATAAGTAGGAGCAGAACTAGCTGACAGACAGGCGAAACAGAGGACCCGCATGGTGTGGTGGTGAACACGATACCCATCGGAAAGGACAATAGCGCGTTCGCTCCCCACCACAGACACTTGCGGTGCGGAGTTTTGCAAATATCTCGGCATCATTGAAGTTATAAGTAGGAGTGTCGTATAGGACTTATTGGTTTTGAAAATGTAAAGCAAGATGGAGTATCTTATGCAGCAACGTCTTGGAAGTGAATCCAGTGTGCGTTCTACTGGAGCAGATTTAATACTGATCAGGGGTTTTTTTTTACCGTACTTCAGAAATAACCTAGGTAAGGAGCTTCAAGCTCATCACCTCATACATTCATGAAAAGGTTTTCGGATAGAAGTGCAGCACTGTGTAAATTGCATGATAAAAGGGGAAAGCTCTCGGCGTTGATGGCCATGAGGGATGTGCCATGCATTCTTCAATAAGCATCGTTTGGAGGTGATTGGATGCATATCTGCTCCTTACAATGACTCGCGGTGGCCCACCGATGTATCGAGCAAGTGCTGCTAACCTCCCGGACAAGTCTGCTGCCAATCTGCTGACCCCAGGGGGACGGTGGGCTAGGGTAGCGGTGATCGATCCCATGTGCATTTTAGGGCGCCACCGACCACTGCGCCACACGCGCCCTTTCGATTGCATGATAGTTTCTGGATATTACACCGAGTATACGGCAGTTTAACACCTGGTATCCCACGATGGAATGTAGACCGTAATGTTGATTCTTTTCCAACGTAAAGCTGAATAATGGGTTATTTTTGTTTGGGAGTTGCAATACAATCTGCTTCACTACTGCTTGTGAAGAGTTTTCCAACAATCACTAGTCATTTTCTGCTGGAAGTTGGGCATTTCTATAGCTGCTTATCAAAGTAATGATAAGGTGAGAACGTTATCATGAGTTCATTTGCCCCATCAGTCCAATAATAACGTGAATTTCGATAAAATCGAATCATTCTTCGGACCTCATTCTCATAGAGCGGATGTGTATGGTTTATTCTTTTCATCCTTAGAAGTAGAACCGTATGAAGGATGAAAATAAGTATGCCTTGATGAAGGTGCGGTGAGTATTCCGACTTTTCTAGTGCGTAGTTCGTAAAGACTAAAATGTTTAGGAGTTTACGAAAACTTGTATAACAACTACATCGAGTGAAAAGAAAGGGCATACGAATTTGGAAATATTGCCGGAAAACTTAACACAGGGAAGTGGAACAATGATTGCAACTGACGTAACGAGAAAAAGTGTGAAATGCGTTGAAAGTGAAGCGAAGAGAGGAGCACTGCAGGAAAATGGTTCCGAATGCAACGAGAAAGGTTACCTCAGTCCATAATAACAAGCGGATTCATTAGTTATGACACATGGAACGGTTTAATTGATTGACTTCTTAACCAGTTTATGAGCGCGTGTAGTCTAGTGGCTTGTTGGCTCAACTGCGCCCCCGTAGAACCAAGCTGTTTCTGATTCTGGGCTTGCTGGTTTGTTACCAGACTTCTTCATGGCTATGAAAACACTTGATATCTGGATAGGCTTGCAGAAGTCATTGAATAGGCCAAATATGTACACATTCACTCTTGCGATGCTAGAGCTGTTCCGAAAACATGGTACCTTGCTGAGCGGTTGACCAACGTTGGACGCGTTATCATTTATGTTTATCCCTCTAACTTATGTCTGCGTTCATCACTGAGTGCATCGAACCAACATTAATGAAAAATCCGTTCGTTCACATCGTCCTTCGGCGCTCCTCAATGAATCTCGTCCACTCAAGAAACATGAATTGACACTTTTGATGTAAAGCTGAGAAGATCAGTGGCAGTTGTATTGGAAATAAAAGACATTTAACTACTCAAAAACAGTTTTTTGATCGTTCATTCAATTTCATCTAATGTTCTGTCATCACTTAGTTAGCGTAGGAGTTTAAGCACCGATTACTGGAAGCAGGGAACAGAATGATCTCAAGCTTGTCGTCAAGGTTAGGACGTATTATGACCGCTTATTCAATAGAATCGATGTGTCTTTCTCAGTACGTGTACGACTTGAAGATGCTGTCGTCGGAAAACCATAAGAACTCGGTATTTGTAGATTGTACTTACAGAATTGTTGATTGTAGAGCTATCAGGTTGTTTGATTGCCCATACTTCGTTACTTATCAAGCGGGAAACTGTTTTAAATAGATAAATAGAGGATGGAGCTTTCAGTGTCGATCAATCTCTTGGGGATGGGCAATGCATTTAACTCCATTCCTAGCACCGTAGAAATATTTGAATGCATATTTAGTCTATACAATCACTTGCAAACGGCTTACGGATTTATCAAGTCAGTGTTTTTTATCTCTGCGGACAAGTCTGGTGCCAGTTCTCCGACTGCGGATGAGTGAACGGCTTGTTTGCCTTAAGGCTCCTGTGTTCCTGTTATATCGAACAAAACGCCAAGCTTACATTGTAGAGTACCTCTATGCTACACACATTAGAAACTGTATTACATGAAATTATGTTATACGATATGAGTATAAATACGTTAGAAGGCATCCAACTAAGTTGCAAATTTCAAGATCTACTGATTGCTATCGAACAATCAGAGCATAATATGGAGAATGCGAAAGTTCACACCGACTCATCGGAGAAACTTATACCTGAGGTGAGAATTTACTAAATTGCAAAAAGTAATGTATCCGTAGAAATTCATTCGTGAGGTATTCTGAAATTGGCGGCTGCAAGGAATATACCAACCAAGGTCAATGCATGTGACCTAGTTTTGGTCGTACGGCTTTACCACCATCACGTTACTGACAGTCGACACTCTAAAATTATTATTTTATCTGCACTTTTTGAAAAATGCTTCTAGGTCTATGCAATTCTGGTTGTTACGGCATCAAGTGTAAGCGAACTGACTGCCAACGTGACCTGAGACATGGAAAACGAAAATTTTTTTGATAGTGTGCATTCCCTACCAACGGTTTATCGCCTCGTCGTGGCTGGGAGGTGTTCCTAGGTGTCGGGCTGTAATGTACGGCGAGTGGATTTAACACCCCAACGGAGCCTCCGAAACTGAGAACGAGAGTAGTAAAGTAATACCAGGATTCACCATCGTCTGGTATCAAACTAGTCAAATGGTGGCAAATCTTCCTTCGATCCACAAGAGCGGCAACTGCCTGTTGTGATGACGACCTGGAGCAAACTTTGGTTAAGCTGACCTCGGGACTCCAGAAAACCATAATGGTTAAACCAGCAAATCACCGAAGAGATAGCAATTATGGTGGGGTCCATACAAGCAGTGAAGACCGGCGATCCAAGTATATAAGTGGGCTTTTTGCTATTCATATTTTAAAATAAGAGCTTCCGACCTTGGGAAATGCTCATTTTCTTTGTTCGCTGTTATTCAGAAAAAGATGGGAGCAAAAATCATTGAATCTACATAAATGGTGTCTTTCTCTAACGAAGATAATAAAGTAAGTTGTTGTAGTTTGCAACTTAAAAGTAGAAAGGCGGTACAGTATTTCGTCAAGATCCATCGAATCAATGAATTTGAGGTTATTGTGAATCACACTTGAATCGTAGAGAAAGAGCTATTTATTGGGTTTAAAATATATTGCTTTTTTCAGAGCTCTCACATTGACAAAAAGAAGTGATAAGTTTAGTGTATATATTGGCTGGGTGCGCAGTGGTCGGAGGCACCGTGCAATACACATGGGATCGATCCCTGCTCCCAAGGCTCACCAACCCTTTCATCCCTTCGGGGTTGGCAAATAAGTACCAGACTTATTTGAGAGGATAGCACCATTGGCTCAATACATCGCCACGCCACCGCGAGTCGTTGTAAAGGCTAGATATGTATTCAATCACCTCCAGTAATACTTAACGAAGACGAGTGCATGGCGCATCTCTAAGGGATTGCTCAACGCCGAGTCCTTGTCTTTTTTATATATTGGCACCTATACATATGTCTAAGAAAGTGTTAAATCTTCTTTGTAAGCCATCAGAGTCCAAAAAACCTTTATTTAATCAGTTGTTTTGTACTTAAAAGAACCATTTCCAGAGGGAGAAAGAAGGGAAAAAGTCGTTTCGAGCTAAACTAGGTTGGTGTCTTGACGATTTTGTTTGGATTAGTCATTTTCATGATTTTTCTTGCCAAATACAACGATTACACCAAAGCATTCGAGAAAATACGTTTATAATAGGGAATTTCTACTCAGAAAATAGATCCTGAGGATCTTCTGGGACACCCTTCCTAATGTCGCAATGTAGATACGTGATTTCTTCATGAAGAGTTTACTTTGACACCTTGATGAATGATTGCTTCTGAGTGTTACAATACGATACGCAGCAAGAAGCTCATCTCGTAGAAGGGTTTACGCAAGCTGACTAGAACTTTTCCATGGGAAGACCTTATGAGGATAAAAGTGTATAGTTGCCATCTAGCAGAGAGCTTAGAACCTTCTTCTGATACAAGCGCTGGCGAGTTTTTCTTCGGATCACTTAAGAAAGCTTTGACACATCCATGGCAGGATTCCAGAAAAGGGGGTTATTAGGAACTGTGTCGTATTTTCGAGAGTTCTTCTTTTCAGTTCGTACTTCAACTCGTAATGTGAATTCTCCAGCAGAGGATTACACGATAAAAGACGAAAAACAATTCCTGAATTATATCGAAAAATACAAGTGAGCATGAAGATTTTTAATTCCTTTCTTAGTTTTTCAACGACGTCGAGACTTGTTCATGTTAGCCTTGGATTGTTTAGAAATAGACGTCTGGAGAGATTTTGTATTTGCCCAGCAACGAAGTGGGTATTATTCAAGGTAATGGTACTGACTTTTACTCATTTTTTCTCACCGCTTTCCTTGAGTTTCACTATTTGAGACGGCATTTAATTTGTAGTTTGGCGATTTTCCTCGACTAAACTTTGGAAGAGTTAATTAAATTGGTCTATGCAAAACTATATGAAACATTCATAGCTTTAAGGTTAGCGGATGCACATGGTCAGTGGCTCGATTCCTTGTCGCGGCTTACCAAACCTCTTGTCCTTCTGATATCAGAAAATTAGTACCAGGGTTATTTGAGAAAATGAAAACATTAATTTGATACATATTAGACCTCACAAAGTTACTGTGTACGGCCCATTATGTATTGAATCATTTTATGGTGACTGATGCAGCCGAATGTGTGTTGTATCCCAAAGATATGGAATTGACATCGAACGCTTGACCCTTAATATCTTTTTCTATGTTTTTGAATTATTTTGAATCAAATTTGAAAAGCGTCTTACAGGAAGAACTAGCTCAATATTATTCGGTACTTTGCCGGATAGAGCGTTGTCTGTGGATTTTATGCTGCCCACCATTATGTTACATTATACCTCAGGTTGGTAAAAGTCCTGTAATTTTTCGTATTTAGCTAATCGAACCGATTTTTAACCTCTATATATGCCTTAGAGTGCGTGTGGCGCAGTGGTTGGAGGTGCCACTGCAACACACATATGGAATCGATTCCGGCGCTCGTGGCCCACCAAGCCTCCCATCCTTCCGGGGTCGGCAAATTGGTACCAGATTTGGCTGGGAGAATAGCAGCGCTGGCTCGATACATCGGTAGGCAACTGCGGATCATTGTATAGGCTAGATATGCATTGAATCACCTCCAACGATGCTTAACGAAGTCGAATGCATGGTGCATCCCTCAGTGATTGATCAACGCCAAGGGCTTTATCCTTTTTTATACATGCCTTGCATAGCCACGTTAATTTGTTATGACGTATTATCTTTTCAAGAACTATTTATGACATATTTTTCATAACATATAACTCCTCACAATGGTTTGCCGCCTCATCGTAGCTGTTCCTGGGTGTCGTACTACGAGGTACAGTGGGTGATTCTCTCTGGCAGGGTCTCTCATGCTGAGAAGGAGTCCGGCGTTTTCATACCAATACCATGATTCACCACAGTCCTGGTATCAAAGTAATCGCATGGTGGCAAATCTCCCTCTGATCCGCAAGGGCGGCGACTGCGTGTGATGGTGAGGACCTGGGGCAAACTTTGGCTAGGCTAACCTCGGGGCTCCAATAAACTGCAATGGCTAAACAAGCGAAACTCCGAAAAAATGGAGATTAAGCTGGAGCCCGCACAATCAGTGAAGATGGGCTATTCAAGTGTCCAAGTAATGTGTGACCAAGTATCGAATTCGAGACAGTAGTCATTATGCATATTTTGTATTCAACTTGACTTAAATGAATCTATAGCAGAAGTCATCTTAGCAGCTTCGAATCGTACGATAATTGTGTTCTGTAGGACCAACACCGTTTACTGACATTGTGAGCAAATGATTTTGACAAGAATTAAGTCATGATATGCTCTTTTTTTTAAGTATATAGCCCAATATTTGTAATTCGAGGTCGCCTTTTGGCCTCCACCAAACGAGTACTTCTTCTACATAGACAACGACAATATGCCGAGGATACGAAAAGAAGTGGAGGGACATCGGGAAGCAATCGAAATCGCAAAACGGAAGAAAGAACTCGTCAAAGTTTATCGAGCCAATAAGTCCGTAAAACAGCACTTTTTTTAATCTAATGAAGCCAATAGTTAATTTTCTTTGACGTTACGGAATTTCTAGTTTTTCGACGACTGTATGATTTTGATTTCTCGTCACTAATAGGACTTGAGGGGTTGAAAACAATACTGAATTATTAAAAATGCAAACTGAAAGGAAAATGAGTTGTACACGACTCACGTGGGCCTATTTGCCGGTAACATATGTGTGACCTGCCTTGTCGCCCATATGCTAAGGTACGATTTCTTTTACAAATAGAGAGCATTGAAGGAAATCGTGGCTACAAACTGGTTGGAGAATCGGTCTTCAACATCCTTGTGCTGATGAAATCGATGACGTCGAAGCGTTTATCGTCCGAACGATCAAGAAAAACGTTTGCTTAATTTTCGCTACAGTTTTCCCACACTAAATTAGAATAGTCGCTTACTTTGCTCGAGAATTTACTTCAAATTTCATAGAGAATGAAGAATGGATAAATATAATGCAGGACCTAACTTATCCCGAGGAATTTTTTGACTCTGATCTATGTAAGAGAGGGTTTATGCTATTTATATTAGTGTCATCGTACACATACATAAAAGACGTATACACTTACACATAAATACACACAGATGTATATGTATATGCTTGTACATGCACACAAATAATGCACACAAAATGATACCGAGATATTTGCAAAACTCCGGACCGCAGGTGGATGCGGCGGGGATCGAAAACCTCGTCATTACTCTTTCCAGGGGCTAACATGTGCTCCACCACACTATGCGTGTCCTTAATTACGCCTTTCTCTCAGTCGTATTTTATATCAAATATCAGATTTCATAGATATTACAAGTCTACTGTGCTGTCCAAACCTATCTTATTAAGGGTTGATTGCTGATATCGCGTATAAAACACCGCTGAGCGAAAGGCGAAACGAAGGACACGCATGGTGTGGCAGTGAAAACGTTATCGCCCGGGAAAGGTAACAGTGTGGTTCGATCGCAGCCGCAGACATCTGCGTTCCGTAGTATTGCAACAAATATCTCGTCATTACTGCAGTTCTATTTCACATCATACCTTGCCAAGAGCAAAGAATAAACAGTAAACAAAAAGTGATTACATTGTGAAATATACAGCTACATATTTAAGGCCCTTGTGTGAACTTAGGAACGGAAAAGATATTCCCACAGAAGCAGTGCAGTAACATACTGAGTATTTTATGAAACAAAAGAGGGTGTGATTTATTTTATTTAGTGTGAACAGAAAATTTCAGTATATTGCATGTCTACGTGTTCCAACACAAAATCATAGCAGATATTCAATTCTCTATTCACATCCGAACGCTAGCGATCTTAGTGATCACGTTAATGGTGTGCCGAACCTCATCGACGTGGCAAGGTGTTTTTCTAAATATTGTTGTTTTCTTTTGCCGACGAAACTGAAATTTTATCTGAATTCTCTCTACATTGGTGGATTTGTTCTCAGTTGTCTAGTATAGGTATTGAGCTCGGTTTTGGCTTTACTTATTTGCAAATCACAACTAGCGGGGGTGTAAAGCGTTCTGAAACCTCGATAGACACTCTTCTTATTGCCTCGATATCAATAGCTTCTTATGTTATTGAGCTGAGACGAGATCGGTATGGAATATTTATTCGGCTAACGATCCGGAGTCTCTGCCATCTTAAGAGCCACATTGATCCAAGCATCCACGTCGCGAGGACAAATTGTGGATCATCGACTCGAATCAAACTCTGAAGAAAACGAAGACGTCGAAACGTTAATGGCACAAATTTTTCATAGCAACCTCGTGTCAGCTCAGTTTTGCCGAAGTCAAACAAAAGTCGGTTTTTAGAAATGTCCCGATATCAGCTTTTAAGTTGAAAATCACTGATAATCACTTCTACAGATTCTACAAATGTGATGTTTATGCTTATGACTATAGTGGATACGGGATTAGTTCAGGACATGCCAGTGAATCAAACCAGAAAGCCGATATTAGAGCCATTTATGATGTAAGTTGGTCGTACATGTCCATACATGTCGGACATTTAGTCGCCACAGTAATGAAACACCAGTACTGAGGGAAATAGTAAACTTAAACGACCGGGAAAATACTCTTCACGTGGTGATCGTACTGTAAACCGTAAGATTCATGGAATTGGACAATTCAGTTGAACTAATAAGAATTACCACAATGAATAGATAGTTTCCACACAACGTTCAAGATCCCAATCTCCATACGATCTCTTGCATTTTTGCTTTATCAGTGAATTTCTTCTAGGAGGAACTCCCCACTAGGAATAACTAATGTTAATGTTAGGTTTTCAATTATTATAAACGTTATGTTCTAGCATCTGCTAAATGATCGTGGTGTTCAACCTGATCAAATCGTTCTCATGGGATATTCAATTGGTTGTTTTGCTTCTGTTCATCTCGCTTGCACCACTCCTCATCCGCCTGCTGGTATGTTTTTGCTCGTTTTAAAGTATAAGAGTTTGACGGGTGATTGTTGATGGCACTGGTAGATAGAAAAGTAGCTGAAAGGTAGGCGAAACGTTGGACCGGCATGGTACGGCGGTGAACAAGTTAGTCCCCGGAAAGAGTGATAGCGCGTTCGTTCCTCACCGTAGACGCCTGCGATCCGAAGTTTTTTAAATATCTGAGCATTATTGTGGTTGTATTTCACATAATATCCAACCGCGGAAAATTGCACTAGGCAGCAGAGAAAACATTTATTTGGGTTCACTAGGAACGCAATATTACAGGGAAAACGTTTTTAAGGAATAAAGTAAGGCAAAATTGATCATGACAACTTACTCAATAAAAAGATGCCGAAGAGTTCGTAGGCTCCAAGAGCAGGTCGAAGCGAGTAAATTGCTCATCGGATTGTTGTAGAAAAAAAATTGCTTATTAATTAATAAACTGAGTCGAAGCGCCACAAGTTTGCTCAATCTCAGCCTTGGCATGGATATCTGCGGCTACATTATAACTCCCCAAATAATACTGTGAATATGAAGCTCATTGTTCAAAAGTGGCACGTGTAGTGTAATGGTTAGCAGTGCATTGCAATACCTAAGTGGTCGTTAGTTTTATCCTGCTCTTTGGCTAACCAATCACTCTATCTCTCAAGGGTGGACAAAATGACACCGGTCTCGTCAATGCTACGCGCTTCATTTATTTATTTATTGTTAAAAAAGAAAGATAAGAGGTCTCACAACTTCGTCTGTTCATCTGTTCCACTACGGCAGGCGTCATACTTCAAGCTCCGCCCACTTCGGTGCTTCGTGTGCTGCTGTGGGAGAGAGCATGTTTCAAGAAGCCCTTCTCCAATAATACTTGCTGTGCTGATCGTTTCTCGATTTACGATAGGGTTCGTTCACAGGTTTTTTTTTTGCTGTGAATCACGCTATAGAACCATCCTCTTGTGCAAGTTAAGTTAAGCTTCTCTTCAAATTTTAGGGAATAATTGAAACTTTCCAGAGGCATGTCTAGTGAAGTGTGTAAAGGTCCACCGCAGAAAAGACTGGGTCGATCCCTCATGGTTCGATCCCGTCCTCAGGTTACCAAGACCCCCGTTCATCCGTGGTTGAGATATTGGTATTTGACTTCTCCGCAGTGTAAAAACAATTACTTAACCTATGAATAGCCGTTACCGAAGGTGGCTGTGTAAGTCAGATATGAATCTAACCACCTCTAGGACGACTGATGAAGTAGGATGTATTGCGTCTCCTTTAGTGATTGGTCAACAACGAGCGTTTTCCCCCTAATTTTCATTTGAAATCTTCCAGTGTCTTTACTCTTCACATATTTTGTCTATATTATAACGAAGAGTCTTTATTTTTACGTTTTATAGCTAAATTCGAGAGTTTGTCTCCGTTAAGTCCTATTTTGCTTCCCTTCGTGGTCTAGCAGAGTTTTAGCAATAAATCCTTATGTCTTCAAGTTTGTTCATTACTTCTACGAAGCAATTTTTATTTATCTTTAGATTTCTGAGATTCAAGTTCCAGTGCTTGTAATACACGGAGAAGATGATAGAAAAGTTCCTATAGCACATGGTAAAGCCGTCTGTGAAAAGGCAGTTAATCGAGTAAGCAACGGCATTCATACCATCAACCCGTGGTATTTATTCTCTTTAATTACGGAATAATGTTGTAAACTACTAAGTAAGCTGCAATAGGCCGAATTTCTACGGAATTCCTAACAAAAGAATGTACCGTTTCCTATGCTTCCCCAAGATGGATAATTATTTTATTCACATTCCCTCGTTTAGCTCAAGAGCTGATTGCAGAACTTTTAATCATAATAGTTGTAGAATTTCAGTTCGTCATGCTTTCAAATTTAACAAAAGAAAAGATCGTACTGATGGGAATTCGGTAGAAAGTTAGCGTGGTTAACCATCAAGTGGCAGGGATCGGTTGAATACAAAAAGCATAATAAAAAAGCCTCTATGGCAGAACAAACGACTGTAAAAAAAATGAATTGATGCAAATTCTCTAATGTAGCATTCTAAGTGTTAATAACTATTAATGTACCAATTATCTTCAATGGTGTTTGACTTCCAGGTAGCTCCGTTATGGCTCAGAGCCACACATGATAATATCGAAAACTGTAGCGCAACATGGATTCGAATCCGAAATTTTATGAAACAGTGCGTTCACATCGTTCATAGTTTTCCTGCTTTTAAGCCCTTTCAATGAGCCCTTGAAAGTAAACCAACTGCAGCATCTTTCTATTACTCTATATGGATTTTAGTGAGCTGAAGAGCAAACGGTCACCACTGACAAAGGACCATGACGACGAACTACAATAATTTACTGACTAAGAGCGAGCACTACACCAACTCTGTTACCTTAATGATTAATGAAATTTTACAACTAATTTTGTTCTATACTAAGAGTGTTCACTGGAATCACAGACCTACTATCTTAAGCTCTCTTTTGCCTTTTGATCGTTTACCAAAGTTAAACATTTGGTCAAAGAAGATGGTAAGTACATGATTTTCTTGACTTCTCAACATTTATTCAACCTAATTTTGATCCATTGCATTGGGGACACAACCTGCACACAACGAACAGCGAAAGTAGCGTTGTAGAGTAGTAGAAAAACATGAGGAGAATTCAGAAGAAAAAGGAATGTGGTAGCAAACAACTTAACCTCTAACTTAGGAAGTAAAAAGCTAACAGCAACGCGAGATCCTTAAGAGAGAAAAATTAACAAGGAAGACACCTAAAATCCTAAGAGACATAAAGAGGAAGGTGAAGGCAAATATGAAGACAAGGCTCTTGTGGACTGAAGAAAGTTAACGAAAGAGGAGTTTCAAGGGCAAGGAAAAGATAATATTGAAAAGTAAGACACATAAAGACTTACAGTTTATAAGCTTACAAGAAGCGCCAATGATCGAAAAGGACTACATAGCTGTATCGGAGGAGAAAACTGCGTATTTCTAACGTTTTATTCCATTACAATGTGAAACATGGTTTTACTCACTAGGAAATTTCTGGATCGACCCTCACCTTTAACAAAGTCGACGGGTTGACTTGTTGGGTTAACTCCGTTATGCATACTAGTTGAACTGGAATTCAAACGGACTACATGTGCTTACTTACTTGCCTTAACTTATCCAATAATTTAATACTCCCCATTCGACTTGTTCGGTTTAGTACAAGAGCAAGGAAAGCATGAAGGAAATTGTTGCCGATGTAGTCAGTATTTTGTACTGACCCCTGCTTAGGAATATTTGATCCATCATAATATTTTAACATCTCCTTTACACACAAAATTGTAATAAAATAAAAGTAGGGAGTATTGCTCCAGGGACTGATCAACCTTTGAGGGATACGCCTTACAATCGACATCATCAAGCATTGTTGGAGGTAACTGAATGCATATTTGACCATTACAATGACTCTCGATGGCCTACCGATGCATAGGCCTGGTGCTGCTATCTTATCAGATAAGTCTAGTACCAATTAGCAGACCCCGGAAGAATAGAAGTATTGGTGAGTCTGGTGTGCTGGATCGAACGTATGTGTGTCGCAAGGCCTCTCTAACAACTGCGCTACGCGCACCCTTAATTTATAATGTGGTGACAACATTCTCACCAGTCCTCTCTTTTTTAGCGGTTTAACCTCGTTTTCGCCTGTGTCCATGTGGTGGAATGCCAAACGGCGACAGAACACGTTTAGCTCTTGTATTGTTGTCCTGAAAGGTTATAATTTGTGAAACATTATACAGTAGCTTTGGATCACGTTCATCAACAAAATCTCAAGTAATCAGCTGCGAAAAGTTTGCAACCGCTTTTCCTCCATAACTTGACACTCCGCACCTTCTCAATTTCTTGGAAGCACCGCAATCGCTATCGTCTTCATTGAAGTCCAACCGAGACCTGCATGAAAAATCATTAGTTCAAATTTCGGATCCCAATAGTAATATCATTATAATGTAGAAAGATGATAAGTCTTAATCAATATTTGGCAGTTATGATAGAGAAATACGGTCAAAGATCGTGATCTTCGTTTTTTTTTTCCGTAAATGTGAAAAGCGCCGCTGTGGGCAAGGATTGCTCGGCTTACTTCTTAATTGTATCTAATGCATAAAACGTCTACTATACTATACAACGACGGGCGCGTGTTGTGCAGTGGTTGGAGGCTCCACTGCGACAAACACGTGGAATCGATCCCCGTGTCCATGGCCCACCAAGTCTTCCATCCCTCCGGGGTCGGCAAATTGGTACCAGACTTGTCTGTGAGGATAGCAGCACTGGTCGATACATCGGTAGGCAACTGCGGATCATTGTAAAGGTCAGATATGCATTCAATCACCTCCAACGAGACAATGAAGCCGGATTCATGGAGCATTCCTCAGGAATTGGTCAACGCTGAGAGCTTTATTTTTTTTATTTGTACTATACAACTAAGCTTATCAAAGAAATAATACATATTGATTTGTCATAACGAGGTTAAAGCAAAGTCGGTTTTGTAACAGCTGCGGTACTATTTTTATTCGCATAAAGTAAGAGACAAGCGTACCGAAAACTTCTTATCTTAGGGAGTTCGGACTGGTATGTCAGTTTCCTGGCTTCTAAAAGAATTGTAAGTGTAGCAAAATATACTTCTTTTTTAGAGTTAGACAACTCACTTGGGCATGAAGAAAATTTGACAATCAGTATTTCAAATTTCTTACTCAACGTACCGGTGATATCAAAATTCCAGTCAACATCTTCAACACCGGAAAGTGACGAATCCGCTGGCGAATTCTAAACTTCCTTTTGATATGTGTTCTTTTTTCAAATTTCAACAGGTAAAGATGTCAGAATTAAGCCAATTAACCGAATTTGATCGACTTACTCTTCACATGCTCCGTCATTGTTCTTTTAAAATCATGTTTATAAGCGATTAGCAGCTCACCTCCATAGTCCTGAAGCGTGTCAGTGGTCGTGCATTCCTTTCTAAGTCATGTAGTAGCTTGCCGGCTGAGGGACGCTTTAACGGATTTACAACAAGCATCGATTTGATTAGTTGAATGAGATCTGTGCTGAGATCTAAACACATCAGTTGTTCTTTCACAATCTTTTTGTTTGCTTCATTTCCATCTCAACGGCGTTCGTTCACGGGTAATCTAAGGTTAACGTTTTGTTTTCTGCCTTCTATAATTTTCATGGCAGGTTACTAAGCGAAATACAACCACAACGTTGCTGAGATATTTGCAAAACTCTGGACCGCAGGTGTCTATGGTGGGGAACGAACGCGCTATTATCCATCGATCTTTTTGCCACAGCAATCACCCGTCAGCGAGGTTGATCTGGGGAGCGCAAATCGGCATAGAACTAGGATAATAGCGCGTTCGTTCCCCACCATAGACACCTGCGGTCCAGAGTTTTGCAAATATCTCAGCAACGTTGTGGTTGTATTTCGCTTAGTAACCTGCCATGAAAATTATAGAAGGCAGAAAACAAAACGTTAAACATTGTGATTTCAACTACAGCCATAGCTTAACTGGAATCTAAGGTTATTTTATTCTGTTTTTCCTTACAAATTAAACCGAACCTCTGAGATATGAAGTGATTGTTACTGTACTTACATGGATACTTTGATGGCTCATGTTCACTGGTTATGCGGGCCCTAGCATAATTTTCATTATTTAAGAGCTTGCTGATTTAACCAATGTCGTCCCCAGAGTCACAAGGTCAGACTAGCCAAAGTCTGCCTCAGGTCGTCACCAACACAGGTAGGCAGTTGCCGCTCTTGTGGATCAGAGGGATGTTTGCCACCGTAAGACTAGTTGATACCATGACGGTGGTGGATCCCCGTATTGGTTTACCCTTAGTTGGGTTTCCTGGTGGAAACGCTCGGACTCCTGCCCAGTAGAGACCTGCTCAATACATCGCAGCCCGCCATCCGGAAACACTTCCCACACACGATGAGGCGGTAAACCGTTGGGAGGAATCAATTGGTGATTGGTATTTTAGTATTAAGAGTAAAAAGCCGTATTGGAGACGTTATCATATTATTATACAAAGCTTCTATAGATGCAAGTGAGGATATTTTTGAATTTTCAAACAGTAGTTAGCAAAGAAATGTCCGATTGAAATTCTAAAAAAGTCACCACCAAACCATTCCGATGAAATCCTTTCGCTTCTTATCAGTTCCCTGTCGTTGTCGAGGTCAACGTCAGTAGCTAACTTCAAAGAGATAAAACCGAAAAATTACTGTTAAAGAGTCATTGAAGAAGTGCGTGGGACACTGCTTGGTTATTTTAAGTTACAAAGCAAATGCATAACAGGAAGAATTAATGAACCAAATGGTTATGAAGTAACACTAACTTACTTCCAACATAGTTACCCCTACACTGTAGATATCTGCAGCTGTAGTAGGACAGCTATTTAGTATTTCTGGTGCCATGTAATACTTATCACCTTCTTCACCATAACCTGTGGGATTCTGTAACAAACATCGATTTTAGCGCAAGGATTCTAAATATGGTAGCGTAACGGTAAGCTCACGGTGATTCAACAGCTGGTCGGCATGAATTCTAAAAATTAGGATAGCTTTACGAGCATAAATAGAAATAAAAATCGATATGTTACATTATTTAATAGTCTTACATACCTGCATTAAGTTATATGCTAACCCAAAATCTCCTAACTTACAACTACTTTCGTGAATTAGAATGTTGGATGGTTTAATATCCAAGTGAAGTATGCTGAGAGAGTGTAGGTGTTCCACCGCCTGATAGAACAAATTGATTTAGTTAGAACGAACAAAAACACTTAAATTTATAGAAGCACCAGAAACACTCCAGAAACGAGACGAAATCACTTAGTATAAGTACCTCTACTAGAAGCGTACCTTCAGGACACTCAGAAGAACCAAGTAAAGTTCGTTCTCCGTCAATAATCCGAAATTCCGACGATAATCTGCCAAATTTCCACTGCACAGTTCCGTTTGAATGTAGAGCCTGCCTCTTAAAATATGAACATGTTCTTGAGTACTATTCCTCATATATATTTTGTTTTTTATGTAATCTTTTGTAATCTTTGGGCAGACAGCACAGTGGCAGTGATATGCGTCGTCACGAGCATGGTGCTAGTTCGATCCCGCCCTAGGAACCAATCCTCTCATCTCCTCGGAGTCGGGGGATTGGTACCGGACTTGTCTGGGAAAACATCACTCTCTGCAGTCTAGTTGGGAAAGCGCCAGCCCTCCTATCTCAGGACTCCAAGGACAATTGCTCGACCAGCATTCTACGACATTCAAAATGAAATGAAAATTCTCAAGCAGTAACCGAAGCTGCGGGTAAAAAGTTGGAATATATTCGTGAATGTGGATGTGAGTAGTGCCGGGATCCGCATAGTAGACGTGAAGACAGATCAAGTAAAATGAAATAAAATGAAAAGGGTAAATGTAATTTTTCTATACGTTTTCTATATATACTGTCTACTGTGCAGATCCCAGCACTTCTTAAATTCTATTCATTTCTTCGCATACGACATTTTCAAGGTCTTCGTGTTTCGTTGCTGCCTGAGGATTTCACTTTCATTATTGTCGTCGAATGGTGGTGGAATTTCTTCCTAACTCCTCAGATAACCAGGCTAGAGAGTTCCCACTTGGTTTGTAATCAGTGAATTTTACCCATTCAAGTCCGGTGTCAATTTTCTGACCCATTGGGATGAGGGGGCTGGTGAGCTCGGAGTGGAATCGAGCACCGTTCTCGTGGTGGCCGACATCACTACCACTGTGCTATCCGGCCCCATATATATACGTGCATATTTCAAAAATTGACTCTTTTTTAACCACGGTATAATTGATCAACATGTGTTTAAATTGTTGAGCTTACACGAGGTTCCTATAAAACTTTTATTCGGCTAATATTTCAACGTCTTCGTTTTAATCTGAACTGATGTTTCGAGCGGATGACCTGTAGCAGTTCGTCTTCTCAGCGTGTCATCTCCGTCTTCGTATCCAATCGAATGTCACTCCGTGGAGCTCGCTCCGCACATGTGTCTCGAATGAGGCATTCTCACCGCAACAGTGGACCATCAACTCATTGGCTCTGATGAAAACGAAGACGTTGAAGCATTACCCAAATAAAACTTGTATAACAACCTCCTGTACACTCAACAATTTACTTGCTTGGATGTTTGTACGACCCATCGTCACTGATTGTGCAGGCCCCAGCATAATCTCCATTTTAAGGAATTTTACTGGTTTAGACATAGTGTTTCTAGAGTGCCTGGCCAAAGTCTGCCCCATGTTTTTGTCTTCTGCCACAAGCAGTCGCCGATCTCGTGGATCTGAGGGAAATTTGCCACCATACGACTAGTTTGATACCAGGGCAGTGATAGATCCTGATTTTGGTTCACTCTTAGCTGGGCTTCCTGATGGAAACGCCGGACTCTTTTCAGTTTGGGAGACCCTGGTGAGTGATGAATCCCTCCACTCTACGTCCCTGCCCGGCTCCCACGAACAGCTGCCAGCCACAATGAGGCGGTAAACCATTAGGATACATCAGTTTAAACATATATACATATATATATATATATATATACAAATACATATACAAATCTATGTATACTTTTGTATGTATACATGAATGCATCTGTATACACAATTGCACACTGTCATAATACGGATATGAAAGTGAACTTTTATAGTTTTTCGACTCCTCAATAAGTTGGTCACACCTTTCCTCCCAAGCTTTCTCCAATCGCAAGATATTCGTGTGATGTGGAATGGATTCGTGAACAAGTACTTCACGCAGTTTGTTCTGACGACTTGTTGAGCTTTCGAATGTACGAAGCGCACGTTTTATTGCGTAATGTTGTCCGTCCTCCAAACTTTCTACTTCTACAGCCTAAATATCAAATTACTTCAATTCGCGACGTGAACTCACTAATTCTAAGGAAATTTATTGCACATAGATCTTTAATGTCTTCACTGACCTCTCCGAACACTCCTTTCCCTAGAATACGACAAATTCTAAAGCATTGCTCGAAATAACTTCCAGGTTGTGACGCTCGATAGATTCGACTATTTTTCTCAACTGAAAGAAGGAGTCACAATGTTTTTTTTTATTTTCTTTTTTTATTTTTTTTATTTTTATTTTCTGTCTACTATAATTTCGCGGCAGTGTACTATACTAAGCGAAATACAACCACAACGTTGCTGAGATATTTATGGCAAAGATCGATAGAACTAGCTGAGAGACAGGCGAAACAAAGGACCAGCATGGTGTGGCGTTACTCCCCGGAGAGTACAATAGCGCGTTCGTTCCCCACCATAGACACCTACGGTCCAGAGTTTTGCAAATATCTCAGCAACGTTGTGGTTGAAAGAAGGAGTTTTTGAAACGATTTACGAAATGTAGTTCTACATAACATACCCTTTTACTAGTAGACAGCTAACACTTAAAATCTGACGTGAGATGATTTGATATCCACTATTATAAGCGAGTGGGTCATAGACGGCCAGATCCGCCAACATGGGTTGATATTTTTTCACAACGCATGTAGTAAAAAAGTGGATTTGGATTCTAAGAGTTAAAAACACTTTAAACTATTGCTTACTTTGGTCAATGGGTATATTGGTTCCAGTAACAAGTCTCGGTCTCAATACTTCAAATCCGGCTGGGTACACTCTGGATGTCTTTCTAGCTGCAATCTTGGAGGCTCTGTTCAGCGAACTATTATTGTTGGAATCCTGTAAAATAGGGCAATTTGTAAAATGAAGGAAGGAAAAGAACTAGAGTTCGTGATCAATTTTTCATTACTACTTGAATATAATTAACTTTTACTTTAAATACCTCAATTTTCGGCTTCAGCTTTCTTCGAAAAAAAAGCTGTATATGAAGGCATGATTTTTTTCATAATTTAAAGAAATTTTCAACTTTAGAAAAATTTCTGAGAAACGTTTCATGGCATACCATCGGCTTTCTCGGTGATTCACATAGAATAACGAAATTTGACGGGAGTGGGAACTCCATCATATCTCTAAGCGAAAACATTAAAGTTTGCTTATAAAGGTTCTAGGCGATAGAGTATATATGAATGATTAGAAATTCATATTCAATGGTTTTGCTAGTAAAAATGATTAAATCCGTATAGAAGGCTTGTGGCAAAAAGGGACACACTAAATGGTAGGAACATAGATAAGTAACCGAAATAGTTGCGCAATACGACGCGAGTTTTATATCCCTGATTGTTAGGTCAATTTCTTGGGTTGACACAGTTTGCCCTAAGCATTGTCCTCAATTCTGCAAATGCTTACAAACGATAGTCGCACACGAAAACGACAATCTGCCGACTGCCGACGGCATTCTGAGTGACCGATGCCGTCGAGCATTCCTTCTCAAGGTCAGAACCCAACTATGCCAAACGATAACTGCCATCACGGACATAGAGCTTATGTGTTTCAAAGAATTTTATGAAATTCTCTTATACTTGAAGGTTATTATGTGAACTCGATGGAGAAAGTGTGTAAAAGTGCTCAAATAATTTGTCTAGATGTTTGGATGTTTATAAGAAAATGTTTTAAACAGATGTGTTTTAGATGGGAAATGGGTCATGGAGAAATTTCCTTTCAACTAATACCTTTTAATTGGAGGTTTTTAGCAAGGGAAGTCGTCATTGGTCACGTAAAGATATTAGTGAATTAATGAAGGAATAAGAGACAGTCGTGTGCCTCTTCGGGCCTTCTTTTTCTTTCTTTTTTATCTTTTTAACTAACTCTGTCGCAGGAGTGCGATGTGGTCCTTTAGTGATCTCTAAAGAGACCACAATTGTGATTGATTTGCTTTTATGGAAGCACAAATTGAAGAAAATATGAAAAGAAATTGAAGCTTATAGTCTTTAAAAAACGAGCATAGTTCTTAAGCTTGGAAACGTAGTGATAAGGTAACAAAATAATCATAGGAAAGGGCAGACGACCTCTGATTTATGTTTAGGGCGGGTTCAATAAAGTATGTTTTGCGAAGTTTTAATGATGCTAATACTTAGCTGGATACTTGGACGGGACGTTTTCACGAGTTGTGTGGACCGAGCACATTTTCAGTTGTGTGCACCCAGCACATTTTCTATTCGTTTCTTTGCCCCGCAGTCGTCCTCGGTGGTAGTGGTCTGATTCGAGCATACTGCCTGTACCGAGTGTTCTTGTTACAAACGGAGTGTTGCGCAGTGGCTACAGCTGTTTGCGTAATACAGACATGGTCTTTGGTTGGATCACGCGCTCCAGGCTCACTGAGTCTCTTGTCTCTCCGTTGGTACTGAATCTGTTTCTGAGAACGGCAGCACTGACTAATAATAATAATTGGTAAGCCACCGGAATTCATTGTGCACTCGAGATATGCATTCAACTATCTCTAATAAAATGCGACAAAGTCTAACGCGTGGTGCCTCACTCAAGAATTGACAGATGCCGAGAGCTTTATCTTACTTTATTTATTTCGGTTACTAAGTGTTGAATTATATTCGTAACCCTTGGAACTTTTTTTTCTGGAAATATAATGGAATAACTTTCACAACTGACTTTCTGTTAACCTCGGCATTGATCAAGTAATTCTTCGTATTCTTGTTGAGTAAACGCGAGGTTTAATTCCTTATTCACGAATAAGCTGACGTTTCGGCGGATTTCGTCTTCCTCAAAGCCTAGAAAGGTCAAGTTGACAACAATCTACCCGGCCAAACACTTCCATAACCAAACAGAGAAAACATTAAACCAAGATTTCAATTACATTAAACACAGCTTTGCACACTCATCGGTTTCTATGAGGCTTCCACTATGTCGCGTGAAGACCAACCACACAGAATTCACATGGAAGCGTAATATGCCTCTCCTATCAGAATAACAAGCTTATGTACTGCCTAATATCACATGTGGTAATGAGGCATTCTCCCTGCGGCTCATTTTCGGATTTCTGGAATTATGTCTAACGGGGAGGACTTTGAAGTACGTGTCACGATCCTTGCATAGGAATCGAGACCACAAACGCACAAAGCTCTCGAGGCGTTCTGGATTAATTCCAGAAAACCGAAAATGAACTGCGGGGGAGAATGCCTCATTATCATGCGTGGTATTGGGCAGTATTTAAGCCTGTTGTTCTAATGGACGGGGCACAGTACGCTTCCATGTGAATTCTGTGCAGTTGGTTTTCACGCGACATACTCAGTGGAAGCCTCATAGAAAGCGGTGAGTGTGCAAAGCTGTGTACAATGTGATTGGAATCTTGGTTCGGCGTTTTCTTTGTTTGGTTCTCTAAAGGTATTTGGCCGAATAGATTGTTGTCAACTTGACCTTCCCAGGCTCTGAGGGAGGCCAAATCCGCCGAAACGTCAGCTTATTCGTGAATAAAGAATAAAGAAATAACACGTCGCGTTTGCTCAGCAAGAATACGATGAACAGTGGAATACGTTTTTTTGAGAAATTTGTCCTTTGTGTGTTAAATGACAATTTCTGAAAGAAGATCTTATTCTCATAGACATCGCACGCTTTTTCTATGATTGGCTGTGATTGTATTACTTTTTAGACATTCTGAACTTTTTCTTTATTTACTGCCTACTGTAATTTTTCACGGCAGCGTATTGTGTGAAATGCAACCACAATGATGCTGAAATGTTTGAAAAACTCTTGACCACTGGCGTCCATGAGGGGATCGAACATGCTATTACCATTTCCAGGGCTAACGCGCTCACCACCGCACCGTGCGGCTCCATCGTTTCGTATTTCTCTCATCTAGTTTTCTATCTACCAGTGCCGTCAGCATTCACCAGTTAAGCTAAAGCTGTAGTCGAAATCATAATGCTTTTTATTTGCTACCTACAGTAATTTTTCATGGCACGGTATCACATGAAATGCCACCACAATGGCGTTGAGATATTCGCAAAACTCCGGATCGCAGGTGTCTGCGTTAAGGAACGCGCTATTACCCTTTCCGGATGCTAAAGTGTTCGCCACCACACCGTGCGGGCTCTTCGTTTCACCTTTCTCTCATCTAGTTTTTTATCTACCAATGCCATCAGCAATCACTTGTCAACGAGATAGGTCTAATGATTAACATTCTTTCTCGATGAGGTATAAAGTGTTGTAAGCCGACCAATCCTTTAGGTATCATGCTGCAAATTCGACTCCATTCATAGCATCGTAGAAGTGATTGAGTTTATGTCTGACCTATACGAGGGCTTGCGGCGGTCTACCGTTGAATCATCTCAGTTGTACCAGTCCTTTAGACGACTCTGGTACTGATTTGCAGATCTTATAATGATAGGAGGCCTGGGGAACCAGGGACACGGAAACAAGACAGAGACTACGTTTGTATTGCTGAGCACCTCTAGCCATTTTACGACACGTGCCTTTGTTAATTCGATCGATGGGATTGTGTAATATTCTGAATGTTAGACATATTTTAATCCATATTTGAATTCCATGGAAAGTAACTCTTTAAAAACCTACTGAGAAAAAGACATAACAAGTTCCTCAGCGGTGCAGTGAGTAATACGTGAGCAGCACAAAGTATAGTCGCGAGTTCGAATCTGGCCTTGTGTTCGAGTTTTGCAAGTGACATAATACCGTGCCATAAAAAACAATAGGCAGTAAATGAAAACTAAGCAGTATCTTAACTCTTTTATTTACTTCCTTTTTCTTCTTAATGGCAGGTTATGTTGCGAACTAGCTGAGATACACGCAAGGCGAAGGACCCGGATGGTGTAGTGGTGAAGTGCGCTGCTCCCCGATAAGGACAACAGCGCGTGTTCGTTCTCCATTGCATACACCTGTGGTGCGGAGTTTTGCAAATATCTCAGCATTTCATACTAAGCAGTATCTCCATCATTTCGTGGTCACACAGTTTTTGTTTTATACTAGAACGCTCATATCGTATTTTTTATTTCCATTTTTTTTATTAGAACAAGAAAAGATTTTGTTAAATACCTTCTTGAAAGATGAAAGAGGCTTGTTGTCATTAGTAATTGTATCGTTGGCCGACCTTATGGTTACGACTAAGCCAACTGCTACTTTTTGACAATGAAGTAGCTGGTGTCCCGCTCTCTTAAGGAGCATCGGTGAAAAAGAAAGAGTTTATTCAGTCAAATGGAAAGTTTTATCTTGGCCAGTTTAATCGTATGTTTTCTGCTCTTCTCAAGTGATTGAGCGCTGTGGGCACTTAAGCGACACCTTCTGTGTCAATTTTTCTAGCCCTATAGGATATTTCTTGAGATCATCTTCAACGTTTTTATAGGATTATGATATTCGTAGAGGAGCAAATAAAAAGCTATATTCAGCGAAACCTTAAAAGTCAAATATTCTTTTACTTCGGTATGAGTAATCAGTACTTTACTCAGTAAGTATGACCGTATTGATAAGTAGATAAATCTTGGAGTCCGTTTTAAAAGTGTTTCTCTTAGGTGTTAAGTGGCTTCTGCTCATAATTGTCGAAAAATAAGGCTAGGCTCCACTCTGCCTTTTATTCCTTATTTCTTTTGTGAACCTCATGTTGTACCAAACTTAACGCTCGAGCCTCAAAGATTAGCAGATTTTGCTCGTTGTCATAATCGTACGTTTTAATGGCAATCGTTTTTTTTTTCATTTTAATGTTTTATTTTCATCATTTTTATTTCCTTCATATGTTAAAGCTGGCTGTTCAATAGGTGAACATCGGAGAGAAACTGAATTTCTGTTTGTGATGAGCATTATACGAGAAAAAAGACATTCTGTTTAACGAGATAAGCTCCACATCACCTCTCTTTTCATATTGTTTTTTCATCCTTCCGTTCATTTGTTGCCACTCTCGACAATTTTCGCTTTGTGGTTCCTTTAGTTAGAGACTCCCTTGCAATACGAACACCGTTACTGGTTCAATCCCACTCTCCGAGCAGACGGAACCTCAAATTCTGTGAAGTTCATGTGGAAAGATGAAATCGCTAATTCATACGTAATTAGGCTCCACGATACGATTTTATAGGCCTAATGTGCAATCAATCAGCTCAAGGATCTCGA